GACGTTTAAAGACATAGTCAATACACATTTATTATAAGTAAAAAAAAAAAAAAAAAATGAATGTATTTGTGATTCAAAAACTCTGATCATGAGATATAACAAAAACGTAATTCAATGTCTTTTGGAAACTAGCCTTTTTAATTATTGAAAGCAATTTGAAATCCACATGCAATAACGGACCCAATGATACTCATATACTTTGTCTCATGTCTGCTAGTATTTTGAACTGTTTTAATTACATTTGTGTCAATATTCATATACAGACGTGCTCTAGTATTCAAAAGGGGTTTACCATGTTGTTGTTTTACTATACCATCATCATTTATTCAGTTTGATTTAAATCAGATTTCATTTCAATAAGGTCCATACTTTTTCCATCTAATTCCCCAGCTTCAATATTCATCAGAAGTCAAATAAAGCTATCGCTGTTAGTAAATATGGTTTGGAAATTATATGATTTATATCAGAAGGTTGTCTTCATGCTGCTGTTTGTTGCTTTACCGCCAGCTAGTGACTACATGAGATGTTGTAAAGTAGCTCTGTTAGTTCCAATATTGAGTTTTTATTTAATCATTGGGGGGTTTCATGTTTATTTATTGGCTTTTTTATTTGGTGTTCTGTTTTGATATTATAAGCTATCCAAAAGGGTATCTTGGACTATGCTCCTTTCAATGTGTTTTTACAATCCGTGTCTATTTACTCATGCTTTATCTTGAGAAGGTTCTCAAATCGAGGTATCATTAAACATTCGATGTATTCACAAGACGTCAAGAACAACAAATTTATTAAAATGGATATCAGGGTCTGCCATATATTTTTGAAATATTGGATGAATGAGTCAAACTATATTCTTGATGTATTTCTCAGCTTCTTGTTGCCTCTCTGATTTATATTAAGGTTTTGCTGCTGTTTTTAAACACTAATCAAATTAGACATTCATTATCATCTACTTTAGAGTTTAGCATGGCTGGATTTCATAATAGTTAGCAAAAAGGGAATCGATACGTTACAATTGATGTCAATGACTTGATCCTCGAAAAGATTGTTCTGGTTTATTTGAGGTCTAATGATACATTGAACAAAAGTCTACGCCCTCTGTTACCTGATCCGCTGATCTATTTATATTCAGCTTGGAATTAATGGCTAGTTCATCATTAAATATGATACTCAGATACCAGTAATAATCTGATCATATCTAATTTAATGTATTGTCAACGACGTTTTTAAATTATCCATATTTCAATTTATACATCAGATTCGACCCGCATCTATATATATATAGATGATACAGATCTAAGTTCAAACTTTGTAAAATCCACGAACATTGTCAACTCATATATCGAAGAAATGAAGGAACAATCTACAGTTCAAATATTTTAAGGACAAATTATCTATAATTGTATTACACACTTCTTCTCAAAAGCTATGCTAAATAATTAAATTCTAAAGTATATAAATTTTTAAAAGACAAAAAAACAAATATAAACAGAAGTGAACGATTTTCATATTATCCACTCAAGCTTAAAATTCATCATCAGATGAAACATAAGCATCACCTAATTCCTTCTTCTTTTTCATTCTTTCCTTCTTCTTCTTTCTTAATTCAGCAGAAGATAATTTAGTCTTCTTTTTACCTGAAGAAATTTTGTTACCCATAGCATCGAATTTATCACCTTCATCTTCTTTCTTTTCAATTCTTGGACCAGTACCTTGACCTGAAACCCAGTTATGACCTGATGGAGTCATTTTACCGTCTAAGACAGCCCAGACTTCTTCAGTTAAATCTTTAGTGAATTCAGCAGAATGGGTAATGATAATAATACCACCAGCGAAAGCTTTCAAAGCTTTAGATAAAGCACCTAAGGAATCACGATCCAAATAATTGGTTGGTTCATCTAAAACAATTAAATGAGGTCTTTGCCATGTACAAGCAGCTAAAACTAATTTAACTTTTTGACCACCTGATAAACCTCTAATTCTGGAATGAGTAACTAATTCAGCATCAAGACCCAACATAGCACAGTGTGATTCAATTTCTTTTCTGGTTAAAGCACGGAATTGACCTGAAGCTAAAGCTTCTTTCATATCAACTTCAGCAACCATTTTAGAGTGTGATTCAACTAATTCACCTCTTGGAATCCAAGCGTTATCAACAGACATCATTGGAACCCATCTTTCATTCTTCATACCAACATTTTCACCTAAGTAGAAAGAACATTCATATTCATAAGTGTTCTTGAATTTTCTTCTGGCAGTAATTTCTTGGATTCTTCTTGGAGTACCTTCAATTTTGAAGATTTTTTTCATACCTTCTTCATCATTTTCATTGATTTGTCTTGAAGCACGATCCATGGTTTCTCTATCTTCACCAGTTTGGAATCTCCATTGGATATATTCAGATGGAGTCTTATCTAAATGAGAATCAATATGAGCGAAAGCATGTTGTTTAATGTAAGCAATACGAGCATTTTCATGAACGTAAACTTCACCAGTGGTTGGTAATAATTCACCAGTTAAAACATTAATCAAAGTAGATTTACCAGCACCATTTGGACCAATAACAGCAATTCTTGATGATAAAGAACATTGGAAATTAATGTCTTGAATTTGTGGTTTTGAGGTACCTGGGTATTGGAAAGTCATGTTTGAAACTTTAACAATAGCTTTTTGTTTGGTTTTAACACCTTCTAAGAAACCTGGTTCTGGGAATTGAAATTCTAAATCAGAAGCACCTAATTCATAGTATGATTTAGCTGATGGAACACGGGAAACGAATTCAGATAAGTTACCTTTGTATTTTCTTAATTTGAAACCTTCATAATGGATAATGTATTGAACAACATTGTCTAAGAAACCAGAATCATGGGAAACAATAATTGAGGTAATACCACAAGTGTTCAAGTAGTTGACTAACCAAGCAACGTTAACGGTATCCAAATGGTTAGTTGGTTCATCTAATAATAAAATATCAGCATTTCTTAAGACGGCTCTAGCTAAAGCTAATTTCATTTTCCAACCACCAGATAATGATTGAATTGGCATAGCAATCATTTCATCAGTGAAAGCGAATTCTCTTAATTTATCAGTGATAACTTCTCTGGTACCTAAAGCACCTTCACCGTAAACGAAATCTAAGACAGAAGTATCAGCTTCAGTACCATCAATATCATGTTCAACGTAGACAGTTCTACATTCTTCTTGAGTTGGGAAACCTTCAACTTGACCGTTAGCAATAGCTCTCATTAAAGTAGATTTACCAGCACCGTTTGGACCACATAAACCATATCTTCTACCACGTTTTAATCTGAATTGAGTTTTGTTCAATAAGATTTTAGCACCGTAAGCCAATGAGAATTCACAGTTACATAAATCTTCACCTTCATCTTCTTCATCAGCGAATTGTGGTGGTTGAGGAATGTTGTCAACAGCACGTTTTCTCCATTCATCGATATCAGCTTTTGATTGTTTTTCACCTAAGAAAACAGTGAAGAATGGAGTGATGTGTTCAAACCAAGCTAATTGATCGATGATTCTTTCATCAATCAAATCACCAGCAATAGCAGCAGCGTATGATAAAACTAAATCGAATCTTGAAGCAACTTCGAATTTGTTTTCAGCAAAGATTTTGGTAATTTCACCTTTGGTGGTTTCAACGGCACCAGCATGGGAAATTTCTGGTAAGACATCATCTGGACCAATAGCACCAACTCTTCTTAAAGTGTTTAAAGCTCTTAAAGTAACATCACGAGCTTCTGGATCAGCAATGTTTTGGTGGTTAGCTTTTAAAGCTGGCAACATCTTGTCTAAGAAAGGAGCAACAATTTGTGGATCATCGACCAATTTACACATGTTATCAACAATAACAGCAGCTTTACGTTTGATGGTAGTATCACGTTCAGCTAAACCTCTTTCTAATAATGGAACCATAATGGATAAAGTAGCTGGGGTAACTTCAGAAACGAAAGTAGTAGCACCTAAAGAGTGAACAGTGTTTGGAACTTGATCTGGTTTACCAATACATTGAATTAATTCTGGAATGAATTTTTCAATATCCTTGTTATGGACGGTAGCAGTACAAGCAGTGATGGTAGCAGTAGCAGCTTTTTTAACTTCTGGTTTGGTATCCCACATAGCTTCAGATAAGACTGGAATTAATTCAGGCATTCTTAAAGCAACTTGAGCTTCAGCATGACCAACTAAGACAGTGATTGATGATAAGATAGCAATTTTTTCAGTCCATTTGTTGGTGTTTGATAAAGCAGCAGTTAAATGTGGTAATAAAGCTTTAATACCGTGTGGGTTAACTGAACCAGCAATTTGTGATAAAGTTTTTGAAGCAATTTCAGCGACAGCTTTGTCTTTATCACCAGCTTTTGGAGCAATTGATGGAACTAAATCGACAATGAATGGTTCAACTGATGGACTCAAGTTGTTTTCAGAGGCAATGTGAGCAACAGCTTCTAAAGCATTAGCAGCAGTTTTTTTGTTTTCAACAGCTTTTTTCAATTCAGCGAAGAATTGTTCTGGAACATCGTGTTCAACGATTGAACCGTTCAAGAATGAAGCAACATTGGTAGCAACAGCTTCTCTTTCTTCTGGAGCGGCAACACTCAACTTATTAAAGAGTTCATTAAGAACCTCAACAGATTGTTTTGAATCAGACATCTTGAAGAATTGACTGAGTGTAAGTACTGAAGAGTATCAAATTAGTAGAAGTAAAAAGTTGAAAAGAGGAAAAAAAATTTTTTTTATAGATCAACAAACCAAAAAAAAAAATTTAGAAAATTTTCAAAAAGAAAAGGCGAAAAAAAAAATTTCTGTGAGAAAAAAAGTAGAAATTCATCACCCGGGTAACCTACCAGATTTCGCTTTATAAAGAAGGTTTAAAACAGGATTTCTTATTATAAAAGTTCCTTTTTACAGTGTTTCTTTTGGTTAAATCTGGTAATCTTTGAACTAAGAGTTTCTTTTCGAGTTATTGGTCGGGCTTTGTTGTAGTTTCGTGATCACATAGTGTCCGATTGAATGCTGATTATTAGAATTTGCATAGATGCTAATGGATAAAATTAAACCAAATCTGGGCTTATGTAAGAGTTCCACCAGATGGTTTGAAAGGTTCACGTGTGAAGAAAAGGTGCCAGGAGAGCCAGTTTCCTATGTACTATCTTTTGGTCAATTGAGAAGCTTAGAAAATACTCTACTGTATTGATGCTCATGGTGTGTGGTATACTTCTCATCCGTATATCTGTTTTACTAGTGTTATACTGCTTATCTATAGATATTCAGAACTAATTTGAGAAGATTATGATATGGCAGCTTATTGACCGTCTGGACCAATTAACAATGTTGGTGATACATGGAAGATGTTTATTCATAGAATAGTCTATAATTGGACCCTTAATTGGTACTTCAATATCGATTAATGTTTCAATGGCATTTAACTATACTACGTAGTCATTAATTACTATAGATCTCAAAGGAATATCGTGAATATTTTACATTTCAAATAGGATCATAAAATCGTATAAAATTATACAAACACGGATCCCTGTTAACTCTATAATTGATCGATCTTCAACATTTCTTCAGTGTCTTCTTTAAGCAAGATGAACTAGAATCTTTAAGATGCTGTCACTTAGCATCCGGTAACTACACGTTGAAAACCATCCGAAAAAACAATTCAAGATGGCAATCCTATAACTAAACAAAGGAAATCATATATAATAAAAATCATCTCAATATTGTTGAATATACTTCACTTGAACATGGGATTGTTACAAATAATAGGTCTTGCCTCTTTACTCCATGCTGGTTATTCATCTTATGAGTTCACACATTTACAAAAATCACATTCTATAGATCTACCCTTCCCAAAAGATATAACTTTAGAAGTTATAATATCATTATTGATCTTAACATTTGATCTATTCTTCCAATCAACACCATCTAAATTATCATTGATTAACAATGATGTTATCAAATCAGAATATAGATTAAAACCAATCTTGATGAAAGATGCTGTGGTGGAAGATGAAAAATTAGGCGCTGGTCCTTTCAAATTTATTGAATCAAGAACAAATTTCATTGATATTAATGCTAAAAGAAGAGAGTTTGCTGAATGGGCTGGTGATCAAGGTGATAATGAAGATAAAAAGGAGGAGTTAAAGAAGGAATTAGATGATTTGACAGGTGAAAATAAGAAGACTAATAATGTTAAACCTGTTGAGTCAAAACCTGAATCAAAGGAGGAAACCAAAGTTGATGTTTCAAAAGAAGAACCACCTGTTATTGAGACAGAGCAACCTGCTGAAACAATTAAAGAACAACCAAAGTCCACTAATAAGAAAAATGGTAAAAAGAACAACAAAAAATCTAAAAAAGTATGATCGAATTTGAAAATTACCTTGTACATTTCTACAACTCAATGTATAGTTTAAAACTTTAAAAAATTATGTATTAAAATTAAAGAAACCGTAATTCACATTGTAAAAACCATAAAAGTCCAAATTAAAATTATACAATGCAAACTTTTGACCTCCAAGAATATTATATTTATAAATGAATCTTTAAAATGATTCTTGAAACTTGAAAAGAAAACAACATGAGAAAACTTGAACATAACTAAACCACCTTATCTTTATTATATTGTATTTTATTTTAACCTTAACACCCATTATTCATCATCCTTATCATCATCATCATCATCATATCTCTCTATCAATAATAACCTAACCAATGATATGTATGACTTTGATATCCTTAAAACTTTTTGTAGAAATGATTTAATCTATCAAAAAATTGATATTCATCAGGAACAAGAATTTCATCATTACTTTTCAAAACTTTCAAGTTCATAAACCCAAAATGATAGTCTCTTAAAATTGTTAAAAATAATGCATAAACATACTTATAATCATTCAAAATAATCAATATATCCAAGATGTGATAACTTATATCAGTTGAAAAATTTTGTAATATATCAAAGATTGAATTTGAATTCAAAAATTCGTAATCATCTTTATATTCTTTATTATTTAAATATTTCTTCAAAACTGAATTTTTATTTGAATTTTCATTGAATTTATTCAATAAAACTTCATTCAAGATTCCAAATTTTAACTTGTTATTCAAATCATAAGCTTCACGTTCTTCAAATTTCAATAATAATAATGCAAAAGTTAATTCATCACCATATTCCATTCCTCTTGTTGATATACTTTTTAATTCAATTAATTTGATTAATGATTCATTTAAAGCTTGTCCGTTTTGAAACTTCCCTAGTTTTGGATAAATTGATTCAACAATTTTTTCAATTTCATATAATTTTGATTTAGGAAATGATGGAATCGTCTTGAATTTTTTATTTAATTCATCAAATGTTTCATAATCTGTTTCTTTAGTTTTATCATTTAATAACTCTGTCCAAATTTTCAATCTTAAAGATTCGGGTATAGAGGTTTTGAAAACTAATTTTTTCATTTCATTCTGGGTTGAATTTCTTAAAATCCCACGTTCTTCTAATTCACCCCATCTTTTGATATTTTTATCTTGGACTTGTTGAAGTGCATCACGATATTCTTGTTTTTTCTTATCATGTTTAGCTGCACTCTCAAACATCTTTGTTATATCACGATCATGTTTCTTAGATTCATCTTTGGATTTTGGTGGTAACCAAATTGGTCTTGTAGAACTGAAACACTCAGATTTTTCTTTTGAAATGAATTTCATATCATCAAATCCTAATTCTGATGCTTCTTTTATAGAGCTCGGCAAACTTGCACCTTTGGATTGACGAGATGATAATTCTGTTGCGACAAATGATTCACTTGATGCTTGATAAAATTGGGAAATACTTGCAGCTTCATCAGGATTTTGATAGAAATATGAACCTGAATCATTTCCCTTTTCATGTGGGGTTCTTGTAATTGGCGTAGATGGAGCAGATAATGATCCAGGTAATGGAGATAATGGCATTTGTGCTGGTGATTGAGTAATAACATTCTTCAGCATTTTGGAAGACTTACCAGAACTTGGTGAAAAAATTGTAGCGGAACCTTTAGTAAATGGAACATTCCAAATCATATTATCGTCAATAGTTTCTTCATCTGAATATAATTCATCAAAATATTTTTCCCTTTTACGTAAATTTTGCTTTGTTGAAGTTTTGGAGTTTTGTCTTCTTAATCTATATTTTTGGGAAGGTGTTAAAGTATTGATAGTTGAGTTTGATATATTCACAGATGATGCACTCACTGGAGTTGAAGGTATGGAGCTTGCCATGCTTGACATGGAAGGATATTTGTTTAATCTTGGTGTTGAAACACTATCTCTTAATTTATTAATACTCAACTGACTTCCATTACTATATTTTTGATTTGCTGAACTTGGTAATTGATATTTAGAGTCTTGACTTATGGATGAACTTGATCCATTTATATGTTGGGCCATTATTGGTGAGTTAACGAATGAAGCACTTGTAATGGATGAATTTCTAGAATTACCGCCCTCACTGAAATCTGAACCGTTAGAACTAGTTATTGAATCATTGGAAACGGGTCTCTCAAGCATAGAAACTTTATTTTGTGAAGTGTTATTATTATTATATCTTGGTTGATTCAGGTTTTTGAACATGGAATCACTGGGTCTTCTTGGTAGATTGATCCCTAAACCTTTAACATTATTTGGCGAGGTATTATTATTGAAATTGTTGACAAACACTTGAGAGGGACTTTTATGAACCTTTTTAGGTTTTGAGCATGAGATATCAATATCATCCAGTGATACTTTATCCAGGTCTTCCCTCAGAGTTGAAAGCGTACCAGACACTGGCTCTGAGTACATTCTTTGTTGTAAAGCAGGCATTTTCCTTGATGCTAAATATGGATCAAAAAGTTTTTAATAATATTGAGAATTTCACCAAAACGAAAGGATAAAAATCAAAGAAAACTTCTTATAAAACGACTTGTGAATCTTTGAAAATGGAAAGCGAATGTACTGCTTTGATGAACGTCCTCAATAATGATTAAATATCCTCATATAACAGCTGTTGAATAAGACCTTTGTTACGGCGGATCGTGTTTTATGTTATTCAATTCTCCTTAAGTACCAAACAAACGGGAACAACCTCTCTTCGGGATAAGCGAAAGACAAACAAACAAAGTAGAAATAGAACGATAACGAACTGAACGAGTAGCGAGTTGACGGATCCCTTTAAAATGAGCAACCACCGGATTGTTTAAGATCTTGATAAGCCCAATAAACGACTGAATATAACTTTAGTTTGATCTATTTTGTAGAAAAAGTTTAGAAAATGTTTAGAAATTTGTTGTTTTTGCTGAAAATCAAAGCGTGCATTTTTTATGGTTGTAAATTTTGCACAATTTCAGCAAATTTCAGCAAATTCCCAGTTACTATAAATAGTAATTTTGACGCTTTTTAAGTCAATCGATTACTGTAACCGGGTTTTGCGTAAATATTCAAATCTTGTACCTCGCGAAGTACCCGAAGAGCGTCAACATTTTATTATAGGCCTCTGGCCTCTGGAGCTCTAGCCTCTGGAGAAAGGTAAGTAAACTGGTTACTTTACTACGTACCCTTACTCTAGTTTTAGCACGTTAACCTTACATTTTTCAAATCTAGAAGCTACTAGTTTCGTTGAATTACACGGATCTAAATTATATTCTCGATAACCTTCATGTAGTCGTGCAGTTGCCGGTTCTTTTATTAAATAAAACCTGAGACTACCATTTGGTAGTTGCTCATTAGGTGCGTATATGATCTAGTTTATACCCAAGTACTATTCATTTATACTCACTAGAGGTTTTTCGCAACCACCTATTTAGGGATCTGATTTTTATTTATTTTTTGTTAGGTGCACATTTGTCTACTCCCTAAATTTTTCAACTGTATGGTCTAACCTTTCCTATATTAAAGTAAAATACTATTTTGAGTGCTTTCTATTTATTTATTTTCGATGGTGATTTCGCGATACTCATAGATAAGTTTTCCCTAAATTTTAGGGAAAATTCAAAAATGTCTTGTTTTTTCTTGCATATTTGCCAGATTCTTTGGCTGGGACATCCTGCCCAAACCGGGTGGATTTTAGGGACCTCCCTAAACTTTTACTATATGGTCGCGCTAACAAAAAAATTAAAAGCTCCCTAAATGGGAGGTTGCGAAAAACCTCTACTCTCTCACTTTCTCTCTGTGTCTGTCTAACAAATTATTAGAGCCAAGGGGGAGGCCAAGGCCCAAGAACCAAGAAGGATGAAGTTGAAAGTCGCTGGAGAAGAAGAAATTACAGGGACAACAACAGATAAAAACGCGATTTGCGCTACTCCCTTCATTTGCGAAATTATCTTGCCAAATGTCGGTAGAATGTGCACAATGCCCAATTTCAGGTCCCTAAAAAGTAAATAGATATTTTTTTCGCAAATATTTCGCTAAATATAATTTTCGTTAAATCGCAGAAAATAATCAAAATATTGTGTCACTTATAAACTTTTGAAGAAGAAGTAATTTAGATTAATTAGTTCCCACAGTACGAATATGTGACCACTGATCACCCTTAAATATTAATATATCCTTTCACTATAATACATTACACAATTTAATTATACAATAAATATTATATAACAGCTGCAAACAAGTGCTCACTCTAAGAACTAAAAAAAGGACCAACATCTTCTAAAATATGGGTATGTAATGATGGATTTAAATATGCAAATAATTTAATCTAATGAATGCTCAATAACGTGTTTGTTATTTAATTCGATGCTAATAATGGTTGAGTTTCTGAGTTTTTCTTTTTGTTTTGACCTTTATATAACCACACTTGATAAAAATATGTTAAATCGAAAACAATTGTACCTGCACTACCAATTATATATGGTAATTCATTGATGAAAAATTCCCATCTGTGATCAACATCATAAACAAATTCGCAGCTTAATAAAATTGATGCAGTATATGTTATATTACCAAACAGCGTACATGCAAATAACACAGGTGATAAATCCTCTGTTGATTTTCTTTGATAATTTTTGATTAATTGAGGAACTCTTGCAAAAAAATATAATCCTGCGCCTATCCATGCAAATATTATACCATATGTCTTTGGATCTATTTCATATCCACCAATTTGTGAAGGCAAAACATTATTTATACCAATTGGTAATGCATGACCTTGTCCGACATTTGATGCAATAACAGCAGCTCCAATAGCGGCTTTGCCTAACGAACTTTTAGAATTTTGTCTCTTATTATGACTACCATAATTGATATTAACATCATGTTCATCTGTGTTATGATTGTGTTCACCGCCTTGGTGACTATGGCTATGTTGGCGACGGTAATGAGGATGTAAATGAGGATGTTTTTTGAGATAATATCCATAATAATAATATTGACCACATAATACAAAATCACACAGCACATAGTACAAAGCAAGGACGTATTGGAAAAGTAATTGTTTAGTTAAATAGCAACCAACAAGACTTGTCAGATCACCAACAACCCATATTCCTATGAATAACACTGATATACCTTCAACAGATTTTTGTTGATAAGTCTCTATCACCTGAGGAAATGATGCGACTAAACTTGCTGCAAAACTAGCACCACCACTTAGGGCGGATAGCACACTTGTTAATGACTTTGGGTCACAGAGCTGTCCTGACATGGTGTAATGAATAATTTGATCCTAATGAAGTTTATCTTGGTAGAAAATATAGAATCTGTTTTATCTCAAACCGATTTTAGTTTTTTTTATAAATTTAAAATTATGAGTAATTTTGATTTTTCGTGAATATTTCGAGGTTCTTATCATTTTGACATTTCCGACCGCGTAATCCGACTTGCATGGAAGCCTGCATTAATTACTTCTACGAGTTCCATATGATCAAAACTTAAAAGTATCAGGTATTATTTAATTATAGGTATATACATATATAGAAGGCTTATTTGGTTTTGTATAGTGTATCTAAGAATCCAACAACTAAACGATCAACAACACCAGTGGTGGAAACACTACCAGCGACACCGTATAATGCAGCAGTATCACCTTTAGCAGCAGATGAATCTCTCAATTTGTGAACAGCTGTTTTCAATTCATCAACTAATTCATCAATAACTGGAACTGATAATCTAGTGACTGCAAGATGTAAAGCTGCTGGCTTTTGCAATGCACTTAAGTGCCATCCCTTAGAACTCAAGAGATCTGATAATTCATAAATATTAATTTTTTCAGATTTGAATGAAATAACTGAAGTTAATGGATCACCAATGATTTCTAATTCTGGTATTTCTTTTTGAATTCTTAATTTCAATTTTCTTGCAGCTCCAACAATATCTTTACATGATTTCTTGTAACCTTCATCACCAATCTTGATCAAGGTTGCCCAACAACCAACAATGATAGCACCTGGTCTACTACCAGCTAAAGTTGGTGAGCCATAGATACCACCAACCCAGTCAACATTAACATAATATTGTGCTTCTCTAAGAGCATTATTACGATACATGATTATTGAAGAACCTTTTGGTGCAAACCCGTATTTGTGGGTATCACAAGAAATTGAAGTGACACCAGGAACTCTAAAGTCAAAAGGTGGTAATTCATAACCTGCTTTTTCCATATAAGAGACAATAAATGAACCTAAACAACAATCAACATGAACTGGGATATTATATTTTTGACCTAGAGCACCAATAGATTCAATATCATCAATGATACCATGTGGGAAATTTGGTGCAGAACCAGCTAATAAAACAGTGTTTTTATTGATTAATCTCTTTAATTTCCCTAAATCAACTTTATAGGTCTTTGGATCTAATGGAACATGATGGACTTTCATACCAAAATAATAACCAGCTTTATCAAAACCAGCATGTGCAGTTTCTGGAATAATAATTTCTGGTTCAACAATACCTTTATGACGTTTACCATATTCTTTAGCAGAAAGACAAGCCAATAATAAGGATTCAGTACCACCTGAGCTGGTACCACCAACACCTGATTCTGGTGCATTGAATAATTTCAAAGTCATTGCAACAACTTCAGCTTCCATTTTACGAACACCTGGGAAAACGTCTGGATGTAATTGATTAGCAACACAAAAGACTTTGAAAGCATCAGATTGGATCTTAATAATATCATCACCACCATGGTAAACAGCACCTGAGACTTTACCACCTTGCCAATCTGAATGTTTTAAATTTTGTAGTTTTTGCAATAAGTCTAAAATGCTATCATCTGATAAACCAGTTGTTGGTATTGATTGGAAATCTTGAACATTTGGTGTTTTGACAATTAAAGAATCTTCTAATTTGTCCAAATTTTCTCTAACTTCTGAATCAACTTTACTTTTAACAAATGGTAAGGATAAAAATGTTCTGAATACAGCTTTTGCTAATTCATTATATACGATCTTTAAGTAGCCGATTAACCCATAACCAGTGATGTTAACCGCCAATTTGTTGAAATAATGATAAGCAACTCTAGATCACAATAGTTAGTGCCTTGGCTTTGATTCAAATAATAAGTTGTGTTGATACTCACGCAAAAAATGTAACATCTCTCAATCTTAATTAGACACATGTTAGTATTAGATCTCCTATTTTCCCCTATAAAGAAAAAAAACAATAAGCCCCAAAATGGATAATCATACTTACAATTCATAAAAGGTACTTCTTTTTAAATATTCAAAAGTGAATCCGAAAGTGACACTGAGAAGCGCTTCAGCAAAAGTCAATGCATCAATTGAAGGAATTCCTTGTTCTTCAATCCATATTGCCCAATTCGTCTGTTTTAACGATTCAAATGTGACACTTAGCAACTCCAATACAATGCCTTCAATTTTTGTAATACCAACTTCAAACGATGTAAACGAGCTCATGATTATCTTGTGTATCTTAGCTAGAATATATTTAGAGTATCCAGACTCAACAAAGCTAATCACTTGAAGTAAGATTAGATCAAACAATTAAATTAAACTAGAAGAAAACGAGTTGTATTTAAATTGATTAATTGTCTCTTACGCGAAGGAAAAATCCATCGGTCAATTCGGGGGAATTTCCTCTGTGGGCAGCGGTTTGTGGCACTGGTTGGGGCTTAACTTTTTAGCGAGCGCTGGTAAACAAGGGAAATCTCACGGAAGGACGCATATCGATAATCTCAAGTTGCATGCTGCTCTTGTTTAAACCGTTTCTGGGTATTATGTTTTTGCTTGTAGTATCATAGCAGTCATAGTATGACTGTCATACCTACATTATACATACTGCTCTTGTTGGCCTTGAAACGTGGTCCCTGGTGAGTCGTGACTGGTGACAGAATTGAATTACGATGCACAAAATTTCCGTGTTCTTGAACTATGATGTATATTCTATAACCTACACGCTGGCTATCTGAAAGTTAACTTCAGATATACGGAGTTGTGGATCTATAAACCCGACCATTTCTACCAACAGTCAGGGTGCTGACTTTTTCTTTAACTGTTTCACTCAACTTTGTGTTATAAATTTTCAAAAACTTCAAATTTCTCTGTAGAACTTTAGCTTGTTCTTGATTTGAAATTTTTACATCTTCATTAATCAATAATCTTAATTTTTTACCTTGACCTTGAATCTTATCAGCTAACTCCTTATCTTTTGTTTCAAATAGCTTAGCTGTACCAGATTTTTCAGCTGCATCTGATGTGATTTGTTGATACTCGGATCTTAATTCATCACTCTTTATTGATAATTCTTCATTTTCAGTTTTCAAATTCGATAAAAATGATTCTAATTCTTTCAATTCAGAATCTAATTCTTCGTCCTTCAAGACAATTTCACCAGATTCAACTTTTTCTAAATAATCCTTTTTCTCAGTCAGAGATTTCTCATTAGTTTCATATTTTTCATATTCTAGTTCTAACCTTTCATATCTTTTTTCAGCGCTTGATGCTTCTTCCTGGAGTTTCTTAGATTCTTTAAACAAATCTGCAATTTTCAATTTAATATTATCAGATTGGTTATGTTTTATTGTGGATTTAAGCTTGAATGGTTTTATTTTTTCCTTGTTTAGATTAATTGCCTTTTCAATACCTGAAATCCTAGCAATTGTTAATTTGGCTAAAATTTGATGATACTCTTTTACAGTAAGTTGTTGTGGAACCACAATAACATCTGATTTTATCTTTTTGTGGGTTGGACCTTCAGTATTAAAAGCAACAGAAAAATCTTGGTCTAATGATTGCACTATTTCTTCATCTGTATGTAGTTTGAAATTTGGTAATCCTTTAATTGGCCAATGATTATTTATAGGGTCTTGAAAGAATTTTTTGGCGTGATCAAATAAAACACCATAAGATTCATCAAAAAGCTTTGAATTATCTTGTGATCTATTAGCTATTGCTGAATATAATGTCTTTTGGGTAATCTTAAGTTCATCTTCATTTGAATCCTTCAAAGTTAAGAATCCATGTTGGTGAGATTGTGCCACTATGATCTTGATCAATGGGATTGGCTGATCTGATGATGATAACTTTCCTTTATAAGTTCTCAAATATTCAACATGACTATCATTTTCATCAATAAACGGATCAAAACTTATTATAAAATCTAATGAGGTATTTTCAAAAAAAGTTGATTTTAACTGTTGATATGTGATTAAATGTAAAGTTAATGGAAATTCTGAAGCTTTAACTTTTGGATGTTTTTGACTGCGTGGTATATAATCATCTTCTTTACCACTTTTTTTATCTGAACCTGAAGTACTACCATTGCTATTCTTTTGATCACTGCCAGCTGATGACTGAGAAGATGATTTTTGAGATTCCACAATTTGAGCCCCTGAATATCTTTTATAATTCAAACTTCTTCCAAGAATAAACGCTTCTATTAAATCCAATTCTTTAATGTTGTGTCCAACAATAACAACATTCAACGATAAACCTTGAATACCATTCAATAACTTGTCAAATTTTTCAAATTTGTCACTTGATAAAAATAATCTTTCATGAGATTCCATAAGCAGTAGTTTTGTTGGCATATAATGTTCCACTAATAAATAAGGATGGTTTGCTATTAGTGTCAAATTTCTATATAATAAATTTTGTAAATCACTTTCAGATAACAATGGAGATGATAGATCAGTTTCATTACTATTATTTTGTATATATGACTCAGTTATACCTTCTTCTTCATCTCTGAATTGCTTTAGAATGGAGTTTTTATGTAACTTAATCAATATTTCAATAAGATCTCTTTGTACTGGTGATAAACCCACTGGTAAATAATAAACTTTCTTGAGGTTTTCAATATTTGGAGGTAAGAGATCACCTGTTGGTAACCTATCTAGATCTTGTTGACCATTTGCAGCAGCTTCAACTAAACTATTAAGATTCATGGTAACGTTTATGTGGATCTAGTTTCTTCCAGTACAATTTCACCGATGTAGTATTTACTTTGTTTTCGAATAGGTCAAGTGCTCGAATGTTTGGAGTTTGGAGTTGAATATTTCGATATTCGCGAAGTTTAGTACATATGGTTGGGGAAACAACTCATAGATACTATCTAGTTGATCATTTAATTTATTGATAGATCAGATTCATTTCATTTCTAGTTCATAAGTTTACGAATGACTTGTTTCATTGATCATTATAGTTGTTGATCTCCGAAAGTGTGGTGAAACGAAATTTATGAATTGAATAAATCTATTGTTAATTTAATTTAATAATTCGCGGGTCTTGATCTGCAGAAATAATTCTGGATTCATGATACGGTCAACTTTCAATCAACAATGAGAACTAGAAAGACATTAACAAATGAGTGACTTTGTGAGTATTGTTTGATCTTTACACTTTGATCAGAAGCTAACTTTACAGAAGGAAAATTTAGAGCCAGATGTGTATCATATAGAAGATACAGATGGAGTTAGATTTAATTGGAACACTTTCCCAGTCACAAGGACAGAAGAAGATAACATAACAGTGCCTATAGGTTGTGTTTATACCCCATTGAAACAAAAAGATGACCTTTCTATTATTCAGAGGCAACCATTCAGATGTATCAACTGTCAAGGTGTTATGAACCCTTTTTGCTTAATAGATGCTGTCGCTAGAACTTGGGCTTGTGCCATATGTTTGACTAGAAATAAATTTCAAACTAATTATGATATTGGACATGTTCTTGATGAAATGGATCCTACTGCTACTACTGTGGAATACTTACTTCCTGATCCATCACCTTCACCTTTACTTTTTGTTTATGTCATTGATTTAACGTTGGAATCTATAGAATTAGACGCTTTGAAATCCAAAATCATAGAGAATCTTGTTCATCATCCTTCAGGGTCCTATGTGGCATTAATAACATTTGATTCTACTGTACAGCTCCATGAGCTTGGGTTATCATCAGAATGGGGAGACTCATTTATTTTTCAAGGGAAAAAGGACTATAGTACCAAAGATATTCAAAAATATTTGGGTATGAGTGGTAATGGTTCAAGATTTTTCAATCCAGCAAATTTAGGCGTTTTTAATAAGATATTCATACCCATTAATCACGAAAGTTTAGAAAAATTAATTCAAGTTATAAAATCAGTTCAACCTGTTAGTCCTCCAACATCATCAAATAGACCAGAGAGATGTACTGGTTCTGCATTAGCGGTTGCATCGAGCTTAATAGAAGGTTCTTTCAAAGATGCTACAGGTCATATTTTGGCTTTCATTGGGGGTCCTTGCACTCTAGGTGAAGGTAAAGTTGTTGATATATCCAAATCTAAAGTGATACGAACATTTCATGATATAAAGAAAAAAAGGGCCAAACATTTGAAATCTGCCACAAAATTTTATGAAAAGCTTGCATTAAGAGCTTCTATAAATGAGAAGCATGAAAAAATTGGGAAAGATCCAAATTCTACATCAATTTATAGTATCAGTATCTTCACAAGTGGTTATGATCAACCAGGAACATATGAAATGAGTAGTTTGACAACTTTAACAGGTGGTTTATTAATTTTAGCAGATTCTTTCACTACAAACATTTTCAAAGAAAGTTTCAATAAGATATTTGATGTGACAAAAGATGGATATAACGATATCAAGACAAGGGGAAGTTTAACTGTGTTAACTTCTCAACATTTAAAAGTTGCAGGATTAATTGGTAAAGGGTCTAGATTAGAAAGATACCATGGATCTGAAAATTTTATATCTGATGTTCCAATTGGTCAAGGTTTAACAAATGTTTGGAGCTTACCATTGATAACTAGTAAGCATAATTATTCATTATTTTTCCATGTTAATACAGTGGGTCATAGTTCAGAGAAAAGAGGTATACCAAAGCATTTATGTATTCAATTTCAAACCGTTTATAAACATCCAGATGGTTATGAACATTTGAGAGTCACAACTTTAAAGAAATCAACCACAAATGATTCTAGAATAGATCAAAATTTTGATCAAGAAGCTACAACTGTATTAGCTCTTAAATTGTTTACATATCAATTACATAACCGTAAATTGGAATATGAAGAAGCATTAAATAAATTAGATCAAGAATTGATTAGTCTTTGTGAAAGTTTCGCAATTTATATCCCAGAAGAACCAAATTCATTTAAACTATCTGAGAAATTTTCGTTATTACCACAATTCAATTATAATGCTAAGAAATCACCAATATTAACAAATTTCAATACCACACCTGATGAAAGTACTTATTATTATGATCTTTTCCAAAAAGCATCTGTTGATGATTCATTAACCATGATCCAACCAACATTATCCCTTTATACGGCAACTAATCCCGCTCCTCATCCTGTTCTTTTGGACTCTAATTCATTGTCTAAGGAAGGTGTGCTTTTAATGGATTCATTCTTCCATGTTATGATTCATGTTGGTGAAATAGCAGCGGCTTGGAGAGATTCTAATCTTGATTCTAAAGAATATGCAAATGTTTATGAAATGCTTGATAATCCACAAAAAGATGCTATTGAAATTATGAAATCAAGATTTCCCTTACCAAGATTCATAGTCACAGATGAAGGAAAATCACAAGCTAGATTCTTGTTATCAAGATTAAATCCTTCAAATAATGATCAAAATACTAATTTTGCTTTAGGTCAAACACAAGATGGTAAAGAAATCATATATACTGAAGATATGAGTTTGATTCAATATTTTAATCGTTTGAGATCTGCAGTTGTTAAAAGAAAATAGATTTATAGATATATAGTTTTACAAAAACTTTTAATTACTTTAAACAACAATTATTTATTTCAGTCATTCCAAGGTCATTATATATTGTAATTATTCTTTTCCGCTTCATTCAATAATAATCTTTCTACTTGATCACCATGTTTTACAGCTTTACCATTCTTCTTTTTCAATGCATAATCAATTTGAACTTTTTTATTTAAAATCATTTGATTATTCATTTTAGCTATAGCATTATCAGAATCTTTAAAAGTTTTATAATATATGAATCCATGATGTTTTGAATTTCCTTGTTCATCTCTTGATATCACTGGTGGTTTGAAAAAAACACCAAATTGTTTAAAAATAGTTTGTAATAGGTTTTCATCTACCAAATCATCTAAATTCTTTATAAATAATGTAGCACCAGTATCTAATTTATCATTATTTGAAGCATTATTCGAAGCTCTATTAACTCTTAAGTTTTTTCCATACAATTTTATACCATTCATGATTTTTTCTGCATATTCTGTATCTTTTACATTTTTAAACTCAACAAATCCATAACCTTGATGAGTTCTTAATATTCTATCTTTTGGAAGATGTATGTTTTTAATTGGTGCAATCTGTATGAAAAGTTCGTATAGTAATCCATCATGGACTTTTTCATCCAAGTTACCGACATATACTGTACAGTCCTGGTTTCTGTCTGATTCAATTCCTCTTTTCATCATCTTTGATAGTTTTGTTTCTTACTTTGGTGATTGAACAAAGATTTGACATAGTGTTTCTTACCTAAAAAGTTTACCATCTAGTAATAATCATTTTTACGCGATCCAAAGAGGAAAGGTTACGCAGTACATGGCTCATCTCAAAGTACACAGTGAAAAAAAAAATCTTTTCAAACTTTCTTTCAACAAACTAACCATTTTTGAAAAAAGAGTAACGGACCTCAAGGATTTCAACTAACGGATGCTACGTTTTGTAGTGTTCGATTTGCGCCTGGAGAGTACACTTGCTGTGCTCGAGTCCACCGGGAACATCTTAGCCCATTGTCCTGGTCCCATATAGAATCTACCACCCAATTAATCACTCATCTATTCGTTATTGCAAACGTTATCACCATAATAGAATGTGTTTCATGCCTGGGGGATATCTTTATTAGGAAATTTGTCATTTAAATACACGCAGATTTACTGTTTCCAATCATTTTGTAGAAATAAATCGATTTAGATCTCAACTGCTTAATTACTTCAAAGTTTATACAAATCAAGATATTTGTTCCTGCTAGCTAACTGAATCTCTAGGCTGACTCTCTGCCTAGGACCCTTCACGCCTTCCCGTCTAGGCTGATCTCCGTCTTATTCCAGCGACTCCCGAACGACTCCGAGTCTAAATTTTCTTTAGGATTCTTTTTTTACTCCAAGAATTATTTCTCGAGGAAAGCGAAAGCGTCAAAATTTTTCAATATCAACAATTAATCATTTTTCACTTTTAGTTGCATTTCTTCAACAACTTCAATAGTTTAAAAGGGGTTATTTCTAATCATCGCTTCTAGTGACCTTAAGAACTAAGAAGTACCCATCAAATCATTTGGCAATAGAATATTGAGCTGCTTTCTTTGTCCTATCAAAAAGAGAATCGGTCTTCGGTTGCTGCATCCATCTAAAGTTCGTTGATATTACTTATTGTTCGTGTGACTGTTTATAACACTTGATCTCAAGGAATCAAGGTTCAAATTTCATTGACAAATCGTCGTATGCCTCTAGAGTTAATTCTACGCTTAACACCACCAAAAAAACCTGGATAAGTTGACTCAATTTAAAAAAAGTATTTTTTTAACCATTGTTGAGAAGTATTGTTCAATCAAAGAAAAGCTACACAATTACTAAAGAAGCATAATCAATCTTTAAAATCACCGAGATATACCTCCCACTCGGTGAATTATTAAAGAGCTATTAAAATTAAAATAAAAAAAGTTTAAACAGAAATCAAGAAATCAAAATCATAATGACCCCAGTTAGTTATCAAGCAGGTGATAATGCCTTTGTTGATCATGAATTATCAGTCAATTTAGATTCAACTGAAGCATTTGAAGGACCAGAAAAGTTATTAGAAATTTGGTTTTATCCAAGTGAAAAAGATATTCCAAACGATCAATCATTAAGAAACATTGATTATGATTCATGGAGTAAGATCTTGGATTTAGTCAATTGTAAAGTTTTATCAATCAAATCATCATCAAAAGTTGATGCTTTTTTGTTATCTGAATCTTCATTATTTGTTTATAATCATAAATTGATTTTGAAAACTTGTGGTACAACAACTACTTTACATTGTTTAAGTTCATTATTTCAATTAATTCAAAATAAATTAGGTTGGAATTTTTTAAATGAAAATCAAAAATTTGAACCATCAAAAGTTTTCTATTCAAGAAGATCATTCATGTTCCCAAATAAACAAAAATCAATTCATAAAAATTGGACTGATGAAGTTGATTATTTAAATCAATTTTTTGAAAATGGTTCTCATTATTTGATTGGTAGAATTGATAATAATCACTGGCATTTATATACTACTAGTCCAACTTCAGAAAAAGAAACAATTCATCATGATGAAGATGTTGATGAAACTTTTGAAATTTTAATGACTGAATTATCACCAGATCGTGCATTACAATTTCATACTTCACGTAAACCAGGTTTTGAAATCGATGAAGAACATGATTTAGGTCATTTCTTGGGTCATTCAACTTCAAACAATACTGGGTTAAACAATGTTTATGGAGAAGTTGGTGAACATGATGCTTTTGCATTTACACCATGTGGTTATTCATCAAATACTATTTTAAATGATGATTCTTATTATACTTTACATGTTACACCTGAAAGAGATTGGTCTTATGCTTCATTTGAAACTAATGTTAATCCATTAAAGTATGGTATTACAAATGTTGAGGTTTTACAAAGAGTTTTAAATGTTTTCAAACCTCATAAATTTCAATTTACTTTATTTAGTTCAGGTACAGGTGAAGATTTTGAAGCTTTAAGAAAATTAGAATCTTTGAAAGGTTATAAAAAAGTTGATAAGATTTTATATGATTTAGACAATTATTATTTGTTATATGTCAGTTATCAAATTGATGAAGCTCACTTAATTAATAGCTTATCAATCAATGGTGGTAACTAAAACTTATAATCAAGTTTTAAACTTATACTGATCAATATAAATCAAAGAAAAAAAAATTAAAAAAATACCAAAAAATCAAAAAAAAAATCACAGTGAGCATAAGCAACATAAAAAGAAATGTTATAATAGGATTAGAAGAAGTGGATTATAAAAATATCTTAGTTATTATAGATTGAGAAGTGGGGGAAGTAAAGAAGAGTATTAATGAGGTAAACAAGAAGTTGCGTTTTATTTATTAATTGAATCATGTTGAAAAAAAAAATAAAAATCAATATTGAAGATGATCTTAATAAAACTTTTATATTATAAGTTTTATTAATGTGATTTAATTTTGATCTTTTTCTTTTTTTTTTCGGTATAATGATTTAATTTTTGTTTGGGAGGACAAGTAATTATTCATTATAAGTTTTTTTTTATGTTTATGTGTCATAAAAATTATATATTATATACAAATTGTTATTGAATATTCTAATATTGAAGGTCTGTAAAGTGTAGATTTAATCTTACAATTGATGAAGTTTATTCAATGGTCACAGAGAATTATGACATTGGTCCATTGTCTCAGAAAAAGTATTTCTATTATAGACTAAATACAATCAAACAGGATCGGGTGATACACAATGAAAAGAAGTCATACCTGAGTATATTGTAGTACAATAGATTTCATAGCCCTAATGGTTACAAATTTTGACACAAAAGTTATTAATTGATGTTAACGACCCGACAAATCCTTATGAGATAAATTAATATTTTCACTAGCATCAGACTCCAAAATTCAAGACAGATCTTATTCATGGATTAGATCTAGCTGCATTATATTAGTTATAATTTATAAACACATAAGAACACTAACATACCAGATCATAGATCTATATAAGAATGTGTACCTAATTTAATCGTCCTCTTTTCTCAAAATACTGCTCTTTGTTTGAGTAATGTAATTAATTTAAAACTAAGATATAACAGAAACAACTTATAATCAGACATATATCAGCCAAAGATATAAATTATAATTTGTTTGCTTGTATACAAAAAAAAAAATTGAATCAAAGTCAGCTTAATATAATGGATTTTTTGCCAAAAAAGTGCAAAAAATTGGTCCCTAGCAGGATCGAACTGCTGATCTTAGCGTTATTAGCACCACGCCTTAACCAACTGGGCCAAGGGACCTTCCAAGGATCCACGCCTTAACCAACTGGAGAAAGACTCACGCCTTAACCAACTGGCCACAGCTCCTTTTTCTTGAAAGAACAAACTTTTGTTGCCATTTGGATCTGCTTGTATCACGTGACACTAGAAGATTGGCTTCGAAACTAACGTCAAATCTAAAATTTACCTAATTTTAACAATTTAGAAAAAAATCATAGGCTCAAATAATACTATTAAATATGTATTTAAGTTCTTTTTAGCAAATTATTTTTTTGAAATTTTTAAAATTCTTACAACTAAGAATCTCATAAATTTTATTTTTAAATTAAAATGATTTTAGATTTGTTTTATTTAAATTAATTAATATTATTTAATTTCCGAAATTATATGTTTCAAAAGAGCTATAAGAATATTTGAGCTAAACTAGGATGTAAGATTTATTAAAACAGTATTATTGTAGTACTTTTTTGTTGAAATACTTGAGTTTATACCTTTAAAGTAAAGGTCGAGCTGGGTAACACAGGATCATCGGTCCGGGCACTTGTCACTAGTAAAAAAAAAAATTTTTGGTATATTGTTATATAGACCAAATACACTAAACCTAAATTATAAACTATTAAGTTGCTTTTATTTGTGGATCAATAATGGCCAAGAAGACACAGGCTCAAAAGCCAGTTCAGGCTCCAAGAAAGAGAAAGATCGAAGAAGAAGCTCCAGAAAGCAGTAGTAGTGAAGAAGAAGAATTAGATCAAGATGATGAACTTAATGTTAGTGGTTTAATTGATGCTGAAGCCAGTGAGGATGATGATGATGATGAAGAAGAAGAAGACGATGAAGAGGAAGAAGTCGAAGAAAAAGAAGACTCAGATGAAGAGTACAACAAACTACTCGGTGAAGAAGGCGAAGCCAGTGATATTGAATCTTTGGAATTTGATGAAGAACCAAAAGATAGTGAATCAATCACAGATAAACTTAACAATGTCCGTATTCGCTCATTATCAGACGCTTCAGAAGGTAATGGAGATGGAAAAGAAACCACGTACATTGATGGAACTCCTCGTATAATCAAGCCAGAAATTGATCCAGTTTATGATTCAGATGATAGTGATGTTGAAAATTTCAACACCATTGGTAATATCCCATTAAGTGCTTATGAAGAAATGCCTCATATTGGTTATGATATAAATGGTAAAAGAATCATGAGACCTGCTAGAGGTTCTGCTTTAGAACAATTATTAGAATCTATTGATTTACCTGAAGGTTGGACTGGTTTATTAGATTCAAACACTGGTGGTAATTTAAATTTGACTAAAGAAGAAATTGATTTGATTAACAAATTAGAAAATAATCAAAGCACAGATGATAGTATTAATCCATACCAACCTACAATTGAATGGTTCACTTCAGAACAAGAAGTCATGCCTTTAACTGCTGTTCCTGAACCAAAAAGAAGATTCGTTCCATCAAAACATGAAGCTAAAAGAGTGATGAAAATTGTTCGTGCTATTAGGGAAGGTCGTATTGTTTTGAACAAACCTGAAAAGAGTGAAGAAGAAGAATATAGTTATGATTTATGGGGTGATAATAATTTAGAAAATAATGATCATGTTATGACTTTAAGAGCTCCAAAAGTTGCACCACCAACGAATGAAGAAAGTTATAATCCACCAGAAGAATATTTATTAACACCAGAAGAATTAGAAAAATTCAATGAAACTGAACCACAAGATCGTGAAAGAAATTTTGTTCCGAAGAAATATGGTTCATTAAGAAAAGTCCCAGGTTATGAAGAAAGTATAAGAGAAAGATTCGAAAGATCATTAGATTTATACTTGGCTCCAAGAGTTCGTCATAATAAATTAAACATTGATCCAGAAAGTTTAGTTCCAGATTTACCATCTCCAAAGGATTTGAGACCTTTCCCAATACGTTGTTCTACTCAATATATTGGTCATAAAGGTAAGATTAGAAGCTTATCAATTGATCCAACTGGTTTATGGTTAGCTACTGGTGGTGATGATGGTACTGTTAAGATTTGGGAAGTTTTAACTGGTCGTGAAGTTTATTCTATTGAAGTTGTTGCTAAAGATAATGAAGATGATAAAGTTGAAAATGTCGAATGGAATCCAGACTCAGCTACTGGTATTTTAGCAGTTACAGCTGGTGAATTCATTCATTTAATTTCACCACCAATCTTTGGATTTGATGTTGAAAATGCAGGTAGATTAAAATTAGAGGCTGGTTTTGGTTACAATAAATTCGGTAACGTTAAAAAGACAGATATCAATGTCAATGATGATTCAGACGTTGAAGAAGAAGAAAATTCTGCTAATAAGAAACAATATGCAAGATGGATTAAACCAAGTGAAGAATTAGTTTCACAAGGTGTTGTATTAACAATTGTTTGTCGTAAAAACATCAAATCATTAGCATGGCATAGAAAAGGTGATTACTTTGTCAGTGTTTCACCAGATTCAGGTAATACATCAGTGTTGATCCATCAAATTTCTAAACATTCATCACAATCACCATTCAAGAAATCAAAAGGTATAATAATGGATGTTAAATTCCACCCATTTAAACCACAAATTTATGTCTGTTCTCAACGTTATATCCGTGTTTATGATTTAGCACAACAAGTTTTAATTAAAAAATTATTACCAGGTGCTAGATGGTTATCCAAGATTGATATTCATCCAAGAGGTGATCATTTATTAGCCTCATCTTTCGATAAGAGAGTTCTATGGCATGATTTAGATTTACAATCTACTCCATACAAAACATTAAGATATCATGAAAAAGCTGTCAGATCTATCAAATACCATAAAGGTGGTTTACCATTATTTGCATCTGCGAGTGATGATGGATTTATTCATGTTTTCCATGGTACAGTTTACGATGATTTAATGACCAATCCATTATTAGTTCCATTGAAGAAATTGAGTGGACATAAAGTTGTAAATAGTTTAGGTGTCTTAGATATCGTTTGGCATCCAAAAGAAGCTTGGTTATTCAGTAGTGGTGCAGATGGTGTTGCAAGATTGTGGACAACTTAGAGCTTCAAGATTATAATAAATTGATTAGGGGTTTGTGTAACATAGATAAAAAGGTAATAGAATTTTAGCATAAATATTTCAAGCTATAATTGTAGCACTCAGAAGTTAGTACAATGATAAATATTAAGCCTTTTTTACCGAAATCGAGGTGTTATATCAGACTTTTATAACCTTAATGGTTTCATGTAGTTTTATAGAATATGTACAAGCTAAGTAGTATTCGTAGTCCGGGGTAATGACTACCGTAAAAACGACAAATTACAAACTTAAAATACTTTTATTTTTCCAAAGTTCGATCACTTTGAAAGGGCGTCAATCTTTATAATATTATGCCTCAGTCTTAACAAACTCAATAACTATTTGCTGATTTGGAGTTTAGAAATCTGGGGTGTCAACTTTCAAATAGATCGAGACTCCAGATTATATGAATAAAGTTCAGCTCAACATTCATGTGAACCTTGAAGCGGCAAGCCCCCAGAGTTATACACACTGAAGATGATACCACACCACGGTGACAATTCTGATAATAAAGATAAGCCTGTCTTGAATGGAAAGGCTGAACACCCGAGTTTCTGGTGGAGTCCTTGGATGGAGAGCATTTTAATTAATCCTGATTAACAGGTGATTCATTCAATATGGATGCGACCGTCGACGCTCGTTTATTCGTTGATTATGAGGTTCTTTGCCCCAGATTTACACCAAAGTACAAAATACCCAAGGTTCAAGCAAGACCTATGGAGATAGAAGTCCAACTAGGACAAATGGCACCTCAGAAACCAGAATACAGAATCTAGCTTTTAGCTTTTAGCTTTTAGCTGAACACTAAACACTAAACACTGAACAGTACAAGTAAATAGAGTATAATACCAAGGTCTCTAATAGTATAAGTAAGTGCATGTCTGTTTGACTTTAAATGCGAATCGGTTAACAATTTATGTGTAGAACACTCATGTTTTAAAGCCCTAAAGTGCTTTACGTGTCTTTTACTTTTAACCGTTCCTTTTGAGTGGTTTTAAGTTTTAAGTTTCGAATTTGTAAACTTTTCATTTCTAACGGTTAATTGTTTATTCTTGAGAAGGAGTTTAGAGCTGTCAAAAGTAAATAGATCATTTTGGATATAACAGGATTCTGATTGCACAGCTCTAGAAGTTATTAAAATCCATGGAGATACCCATACACACAATTCAACATTTAATACACAAACCATTTTAGCTGAACACAGTGAACCTATCAGAAACAAATCATTACTAGCCCATTAACAACCAAACCAACCTTGAGCTTCATCAAACTGTTCGAATAAACTACACGGAACTAAGGAGAAGCTGGAGGTCAGGCCCCTCCATTACATAAGCTTCTCTGATTGTGGACTTAAGCCTCGCATATCGACGCATCACTCTTCAAACTGGATCATAAACTCAGCTCCAACAATTTTCAGATCACAAAACCATCTAAAATTGACAAAGATGCCGCCAGTGAAGTCGGAACGGTGAGACCCTAGGAGTCCTATTACGTTATGCCATCTCTGTTGGGCTGAAAGCATGAGGTATTTGCTAGGGGTGTTATTTACCGTGCTATCCATCAAGCTTATAAGCTTTTCACCAATCTCCGGTGACATATACTTATATCGCGTGTGTTCAGTACTTAAATTAAGGACAAAAGCATAATTTAGTAGTAGTAATTGTTAAGATTTATTCTTATAGTCTATAAAAAGTGAATGACTTTGTAGGCTTCCGATATTAATTTTCCTTTAAACAGAGACTTTAGCTTCTTTCGTTCCCTGGATTGTCCTGATCCTGAGTCCAGATATTCTTTTCCAGTAAAATTGTGTACCTAAATCTTCAAATCATCATAACCAGAAATGTGCATAATTACAAATGAGCTTTATTCCGAGATTAGGAGTTTGGACAGATTCACAAATCCATAAAATTATTTTATTTAGTGATTCAAAAGTATATAAACCTTTGGATATCCATGATTTTTTTGACTCAATTGACTATAGCCGTTTCAATTCTTCATAGACTTTAGTCTTCAACTGAATCAATCCATATATATACAATGCTTTCAGTTTTCACCAAAACAGCCAGATCAAAGGCTTTACAAGCTAACAGCAGAGTTGCTTTAAGATACTTACAAGCTTCAAAATTGTCAACTTTACAATTACCACCAGTTCCAACTGCTCACGCTACCAAAGAAACTGAACCATACTTCACTTCAACTTATATCAATGGTCAACATTACAAATCTGATGCCACTGAATGGTTCGATGTTTATGATCCAGCTACTGACATTGTTGTTGCCAAAGTTCCACAATCAACAGATGCTGAATTAAACCAAGCTATTGAAACTGCTGAAAAAGCTTTCCAATCATACAAAAACCTTTCAATTATGAAAAGATTAACTTTAACTTTCAACTATGTTGAATTATTAAAGAAAAACACCGATAGATTAGCTGCTACTATTGTCTACGAACAAGGTAAATCATGGAGTGCTGCTATTGCTGATGTTCAAAGAGGTATCCAATGTGCTGAACATGCTACCACCGTCACCAAAGAAACTGAAGGTTTCTCATTAGAAGTTTCAAATGATATGACTTCCCACACCATCAGAGAACCAATTGGTGTTATTGGTTCAATTATGCCATTCAACTTCCCAGTTATGATTCCATTATGGACTATTCCATACATCATTGCTACTGGTAACACTACTGTTATCAAACCATCAGAAATGTGTCCAGGTACTGGTGCTATCTTAGCTGAAATCGCTAAAGAAGCTGGTGTTCCAGATGGTGTTATCAACATTGTTCACGGTAAAGCTCCAACTGTTAACAAAATTGTTAGTGATCCAAGAATCAAAGCTGTTACATTCGTTGGTGGTAACAATGCTGGTAAATACGTTTACACTGAAGCTACCAAAAACGGTAAAAGAGCTCAAGTTAACTTAGGTGCTAAAAACCATGTTGTTGTCTTACCAGATGCTGACAAACAAACTTTATTAAAAGGTGTTGTTGCCGGTGCCTTCTCTTCAACTGGTCAAGTTTGTTTATCAACTGATATCTTATTCTTAGTTGGTGAAGCTAGAAAATTCATCCCAGATATTGTTGAAACCGTTAAAGCTTTAGAAACTAAACCAGGTTTCCAAGATGGTGATTTCGGTCCACTTGTCACCAAACAATCATTAGAAAGATTAGAAGCTGTTATCCAAGATGCTGTTGACCAAGGTGCTGAAGTCTTAGTTGATGGTAGAGGTAAAAAACCAGCTGGTTTCGAAGATGGTTACTTCATTGGTCCAACCTTATTAAGAAACGTTAAGAAAGGTATGAGATGTGTTGATGAAGAATTATTCGGTCCAATCTTCACTATTGTTGAAGCTGATTCATTAGATGAAACTATTGATTACTGTAACAACAATGAATTCGGTAACTCAGTTGCTGTTTTCACCAACTCAGGTCCAGCTGCTAACAGATTCGCTAAAGCTATCAACATTGGTCAAGTTGGTATCAACGTCCCAATTCCAATTCCATTAGCTCAATTTGGTTTCACCTCAAACAAAGCTTCATTCTTAGGTGACTTACACTTCTACGGTCCATCAGCCTTCAAATTCTTAACTCAAGCTAAGACCATCACTACTTCATGGAAAGGTATTGACTACAAATAAGTCAATTTTCAACCCAAGAAGCTGGAATCGTGATTTTATGAGTTGTTTATGAAATAATGAGAGAAAATTTTTAATATTCTTTTACAAATCAATGTAGTTAGACAGTCACACTAAACATTTTCGATCGAACTATTCAATATAGTTAGCGTGTTGTTTTGTAAGTTGTAAATGAATTATGTTCAAAATATTTGGTGTTGATAAGGAAACTTGAGATCTTAAAGCGAGAATCCTCCGTACGCTCTTAATTAACACTAGTATCGATAATCTTCTCATTTTATGGCACAATAACAGATCGAAAATCTTCTCATTTGACAAAATGACATATAAAAGGAATGATAATGTGTTATTTCTCCTTCTCTTTCTGTTTTACTTTCTTTACTCACCACACAAATTTACAATTACAATTACAATTACAATTACAATGAGATTAACAAACATTATATTATCATCAATTGCTTTAGCAATTTATGGTTCTGCATTACCAATTCCAATTCCAGGATCAGAAGCAACAGACAATATTGAAGTACCATCAAACTTGTTGAATAAAACTTTTAATATTATCTTACCAGTTGAAAAATCAAATACACCAGGTCCATATCCAAATCCAAATCCAAATCCATCAAACTTATTGAATAATACTTTTAATATTAAGTTACCTCAAGATGTTTCTAAAAAACCAGTTTCAAATACCGCTGATGTTGAGTTTCCAAAGAACTTGTTGAATAACACTTTTAATATTAAATTACCAACAGAAAAGCAAGACATTGAGATACCAAAAAATCTTTTGAATCAAACGTTTAATATTAAATTACCAGTTGATACACAAGGGTCATCAGAATCAGAATCAGATGAACATCCTTCAAACTTATTAAACACCACTTTCAACGTTGATATTTCTTCAGAAAATCCGCCTAATCTATTTAACAAGACTTTTAATATCAAATTACCAACAATACCGATTGATAACCATGAAGCTTTAGACATTGGAGCCAATGGCATATATGACCAGCATACTATTTATGCTTTTTATGACCTTCGAGATGTTGGATTGATCGAAAATGATTCTTCATATGATATTTCAAGCTTGAAAGCTGCAAATGAAACTGGATTATCAATTATTCAACAGGCGTTAGCTTCTGATAGTTATGCATATGGAAAAGTTCGTGCCGCTGATGCCCATACAAGCCCATCCATTATTAAAATTGCTCTTTTAAATGATCAAAATGATTATTTAGTTGTCAATGATGGAATATCTAACCAAGAGAATAATGATGAGGGAACTCCTTCAATTTTATCATCTGATGGATTGAGTATAAAAGATAAATTGTTGAATACTGAAGGTTGGTCAAGAGTTGAAATACCCGAAGTTGATAGTTATGTTCATGCCACTTACTTGGTTGTGTACAATCCTACACAACATGAAATTGATAGTGTCCTTGAGCATGTCACTATACCATACGTTGATAACCCTTGAATGTGTTTGCCGCTGAAGCCCATATAATTATTCTGTCCTTTCTTATATAGCAAAAATAAAAAAAAAAGTTGACCATTCCATTGTAGACACTGTGATAATAACGAATCTAAGCAAGAAAAGCTTCAAGTATATCCCTAATGTTTCATTGTCCTTGATGAACTGCTTTATTGTTGTTGAAGTTCAAATTTTGAGAACTTTTACTTTTACCGCGCATATTTTCCTCTGTCAGTGTCATCGTGTCATCGTGACATTGCAAGCCTTTTTGGTTGCTTTATATAAGCCTAAAGCTTTCAATGTTCATTCATCAGGTTATCTAAAAGTTAAAAGACCACATGTGGATCGTTTACCACTGATTACTGATATCGTCTATTAACCACGAGTGTAAATCAACAGGAGTGTGTACCTTCAGTGATCACTGATGAGCTCATATCAAAATAGAAAATGGTATTTGGACTTCTCAAAGTTAATTGCTGAACTAATGATGGTGATGAGTTATAACATACTGGGAAGACACAAGATCTTGTTCTCGTTTCAAAGCATCACATTAGACAGTAATAACAGAACTAACCAAGTACAATAGATAAGTACTACAAGTCCTATAAAGTTTACAATCATTACTTTTGTGTCATGTAGAGTGTAAACGTGCCGCCTTACAATTCTACTACCAGCTACCAGCTTCCAATTCAAGCATGAATCATAATCCCCTAGTTGGACTAGTTTATACAAAATAATGTTCAGGAACCAGGAACGGTAATTATTAGTGCAAACTATTTTAGACGTCAACTCGATACTAATTGCGGAAATGTCTTAATTCTCTCGCGTTTTTTAACCTCGCTATATAGATTGTACGTCAAGATTGTACAACAGCAATCAAAAGAAAAAAGGCATTGCAAACAATTATTCTACAAGATTTGATACGTCAGTTAAGGTCAACTCATAAACAGAGCACTCGGAGTGTTAGTGATATCATAATTAAGTTCGTGTTAAACTTTTCAAAAGCTAATATAGCCTATGAACTTCATTGATATCGTTAATATAGACTACGGCCAAATAGCTTAATTAAATAACAATAGCTTGTTTCATTCGTGCCCAAAGAACAATTTAGATCGAGTTAAATTTGTGGAGCTACAATATAACTATACACTCGAAACCACTCATAGCTAGCTAAATTGTAACCACTAAGGATTTTCTAGACTCATATCTCGAGATGTTAAAGAATAACCTGGGGATCGAGCGATCGCAGATTAGTTGATAACTTAGAAACGCGTATATTGCATGATACAAAACTAAGTTTTTTGCAGAACAATAAGCATATACTTACCTAATTTTAACCATTCGAATACCCCATAACCTGACCTTCAAACAACAGTGATAGTACGAACCAAGTCTTTATTCCAAGTGGTTGTGATTCTATAAAATGATGTTCTTGTATTACGTATGCTTTCGGTGATGTTCCGTTTCGGAATTTTTAGATAATCTATTACAATCTCGAAAAACTTTGCTAGCAATTCCAACGAACAGCCCAGTTTAGCAAAGTTAATTCATTGACTAAATAAAATCTTAGCCTAGCAAACTATTGTCAATGTACATAAATAAAATTTGGAGATGATACTGCATGATGTCTATATTTGCTATAACAATGTTTCAAGTTGATGGTATATAAGTATCTTGATATACCCATTTCTTTTCACTTCATGACTATTGTTTAATACCCATACTACAACTAACATTATAATTATTTATTACACAATGCTATCAAGAAACTTTATTAGACAATCTACAAGAACTTTCATATCGTTTTCCAGACGTTCAATTATACCCTCAACAACGAAACTATCATCAAGATGTGCATATCAACAAGCTTCAAAATTCTCAACAACTTCAAGCCTTTTACATCAAGCATCTCAAGCAGAACAATCATCACAACAAGCTCAAGATACAATGAGAGCATTAGTATACCACGGTGCTAAAGATATTAGATATAACCATGATTTTGAATTACCAAAAATCACCAAACCAAATGATGTTATCATTCGTATTGCCTATTGTGGTATTTGTGGTAAGTATTACTGAACTCGGAGTTGATTTACAAACGGCTGAATACTAACATTTTTATAGGTACTGATTTACATGAATATGAAGAGCCAAAATTTTTCAAAAATGCAGCATCAGAAGGTGGTGATAAAATCAGTGGTAAGAAATTACCTTTAGTCCCAGGTCATGAAATGAGTGGTGTTGTTCATCAAGTTGGTGAAGGTGTTGAAAACTTGAAACCAGGTGATCATGTTGTTGTTGAAGCTACAGGTCATTGTTCAGATAGACAAAACTATTTCACAGAACCAGAAAATCATAGAAGACATGATGAAACTTGTATTAATTGTGAATTAGGCTTCACAAATACTTGTTCGGATTTGAATTTTGTTGGTTTAGGTATTGATAATGGTGGATTAGCTGAATATACCAAATATTCAGAAGAGCATATTTTCAAGATTGATAAGAAAATCCCATTAGATGTTGCTGCATTAATCGAACCATTGTCTGTTGTTTGGCATGCAGTTGAATTATCAGGTTTTGTTCCTGGTGAAGATGCTGTTGTCTTAGGTGCTGGCCCAATTGGTCTTGCTACAATCTTAGTCTTGAAAGCATTTGGTGCTTCAAGAATTGTTTGTTCAGAACCTGCTACAATTAGAAGAGAACAAGCTGAATATTTTGGTGCTGTTCCATTCAACCCAGCTGAACATGATAATGATACTGAAATTTTAAGATCAATGGGTCTTAAAGGTGAAGGTTTTGGTAAATCATTTGATTGTTCTGGTATTCCAAAGACTTATGAAACCTCAATCCATTCTTTAAGAGCTCATGGTGTTGCTTGTAATGTCGCCATCTGGCCTCATAGATCTGTTGCCCATTATGTTATGGATTTAACTTTAGAGGAAAAATCAAGTGTTGGTTCATTAGGTTATACTCAAAAGGATTTCAAAGGTGTTATCAATGCTATTCAAAATGATCATATACCAGTTGAAAAATTGAAACAATTCATTACTGGTAGAGTTGGTTTGAAAAGTGGTGTTGTAAATGGGTTCCACGAATTGATTGAACATAAAGATAAACATATTAAAATCTTGATTAGTCCAGATTTATTTGAACAGTAAGTGTCATAAAGCATTTGATCTCTCTGCATTCTAATACATTATGCATGTGATATTAACTCTTTTAACACAGCAGTTAAGCATTTATAGATTCATGATTTTCAATTTTAAGACATGATTTGTGATGATTGACGAAGCTTAATTATTTTTAGATTACGATGTATAACGACAATTGAAAGCATTTATTTGTACTTTTGAAATTATTTTGATTTAAATAAATATTCTAATTAATGAATGGATAGATTTAGTAGCAAAGAAAATTAAAATGAATGGAAGTTAATGAACAAAAATATAATTAAAAAGGAATCGAAATTGTCTTTTGATTAAGCTTGAAGTAAGTATATGTTATACCCAGGTTTCTGTGAAATTCTTTACCCCATCAATTGTTCAAAATCAATATTTAAGTTATCGAAGAACCCAGCTTGGAAATTCAAAGCATCAAGATTCATATCAAGATCAAATGGCATATCCCAAAGCTCCTCTAAACCTTCATCATGACCTTGGCAAGTATGTTCATGAACGGATTGTTGATTGAATGTTTGTTGTGGATATTGTTCCTGTGATAATGATGTAGCGGCTAATGCGTCAATATCTAAATTGATACCATGACTGTTTAAATACATATCAATGGAATCATTAATTGGGGTTGGAAAGTTATGAACATCATTTGAGATTTCAGAACCAGCTGAATTTGAACGTTGTTCATTATAAAGAGAGGGGGTTTCTGGTGTTGATGAATTAGCGATATGAGATTGGTGATATGTTGGGGTCTGAGATTGAATTGAAATATGTTGGTTATCAATTAAAGGCTGAAAGTTTAAAGATGAAGCACTTGAAATACCAGCTTGTGTTTTAAAAGATTGAATTAATGACTGTTGTTGTAATTGTTGTTGTTTCTGTTGCTTCAATGCCTTTTTGGATGGTAACTTTGTCGTTGTATAAACAGGTCCTTTTTCAAATGTACATGATTTATTAAACATTTTGCATAGTTTACATGGGATACCATCTTCAATGATACAGCATGATTTACGCTTACGACAATTGTCGCAAGGTCTTTGCTTTCTTGACTTGTATAATCTTTTCTTGACATCTTTTGGAATGATATTGTTATTTTCTTTGGATAGAGCCATTTTGAAGGATGTGGGTAATATAGATAATAAATAAAAGATAACTTGGAAGAATGAGGTTGAGTTAATCAAAAATCCCGGTCTCTATCTTGAACAGTAATTGAAAATAAAGGTTGAATTAATTAATAAATAATTGTGACATAAAGTTTAGTTATGTGTAGTGATATGTATGGGAACTGATCAGAGTTGCAGTCTTCTTGAAATGCTTGATAATATTTCCTCGAGAACACGTAAAGTTTATATATGAATATTTTCTAGTGCAAGCTTATACTATAAAGTTTCTTAAATTTACTGTGGCTATCATGCTGCATTTATACAAATGAAGAAAAACGTTGTACATCAATCATCATCTATAATACGAGCTCTAACGTCAGAATGTTGTTACCCAAAATAAGAAACAAAAATTGCTGTTTCAACCCCAATGTTTCCAAAGCTTTATACTGAGGTGCTTTCGAATCCCAGGTTATCAGTGGGTCAATCGTAATCCTTATCAGCTAGTGACGGGAAAATTTTATCAGAGATACCTGACGAAACCTGATATCATGGTTCATGGAGATCTCAGGGATCTACCGAAAAGAGAAGAGTTTGACAAATTGACTCTGTGTATACGTACATACGTACATATTTACATACAATAGTAGCTAGAAACCACACTTGTGGTTCTCGAAACAATTGTGGAGTGTGGAGCTTCTCTTGATCAGTTACGAGATTGACTACATACACACATACACAGTGGATCGAGATCAAGGTCCATAATCATCGACGTTAAGTAAAGAAATATTGACTGGTTGTATAAAAAGGAGGAGTCAGCAAAAGATGACCAGAGTCCACTGTAAGGCATCAAAATATCAAAATGCTAACATGTTCACTTTTATCGTTATCTTTCCCTCAGATCACGAAATATACAAAAATCTCGTTGAAATCGGAATCTGATATTCTAATGAGAGAAACCACACCTTTTATAGAGTTGTATGCTTGCCGTTTCGACATGCGGAGAGTTACAACTTACCAGCACTTACCAGTACTTATCAAGATCAAGATCTATCAAGTTCATGGATTGATCGACTACAATTGTGGAACAATACGTAATTCTCGTATACAATTGAAAATACTCGATATCGACGAGGAAAATTACGACAACGAGTCAACGACAACTTATATACAACTATACAACCCAGAAGATCTGCAGCTCGTGAATTGATATACGTTTCAAGCTGTAATTGTAATTAATTGAGCTGAAAATAGTAAGCTAGTGTACAGCTTTTGTTTAGTACTTTACACTTACAGAGGAGTTCACATTATATATACCTCATGACCCCAACTCCAAGTTCGAGTTTCAAGTAATTACCGGAACATCACCTAGTTACTATATGCATTCAGTAGGTGCATCGGTTAAATCATGATTAATTACCATATATATTTATAAACCACAAACGTAATTTTGGTTAATATTTTCAAGAATTAAGTCAAAACGCTTCATTATTTTTTAAGATGGGGAACTTGAAAGAGCTTTCACGTGTATGCACACGTGAAAACCGAGGGTGCTTAAGTCACATGATGAAAGTCGGAAATCAATCTTCATCAAGAAAATGTTAATTGTTTTGATGTTCCGTAGCGCTTGCAAAGTAAGACTAAAGAAGATCGCGTCTAAGATCGAAACAATTATTGTTCAATCTAATCTCAGGGTTTGCGACATACTACCATGCCACCAAGAAGGTCAAGAAGCTCCGCATCAACAGACAACACCCCAAGAAGGTCATCCAGAAGAGGTGGATCAGTTGAACCTCAAGTTGATACTGAATTGGACCAACCATTAGATATAAAAGAACAAGAAGATGAAGAATATCAAGAAGAAATAAAAGATGATGATGAAGATGATGAACCATATTCAGGTGACGACGAAGATGCAGAGGCACCAAGATCAAGGCAAAGAAGTAGATCACAAAGAAGCACTTCAAGATCCAAAAGAGTACGTACGCCTGCTCAAGAATTAGAAGATGGTGATGATGAAGAAGAAGGTGAAGATGAGGAATTAGACGAAGAATTGGAAGAAGATGACGAAGAGAATAACAAGAGACAAAAAACAAATTCAGGAACGAGTACACCTTCAAGACCAATACGCCGTGGTCCAGGTAGAGGTCGTAAAGGACCAATGTCATTACAAACACCACCACCACCACCAGAAGATTTAAAACCTCTTGAAATGAAAGATGATGAATATATCGTGACAGATGATGAAGAAGGTGAAGAAAAAATTACACCTTTAGGTGAATTAAAAGATGGAAGACAATTCAGAGTACGCTCTTTTACAGTTAAGGGTAAAGGTGATAGACTTTATATGCTTTCAACAGAACCTGCAAGATGTATGGGATTTAGAGATTCTTACTTATTATTTCAAAAACACAGACGTCTTTATAAAGTTGTGTTAACACCAGAAGAAAAATTTGATTTGATTAATCGTGAAATAATCCCACATTCATATAAAGGTAGAGTGATAGGTCTGGTTACAGCTAAAAGTATATATAAAGAATTTGGTGCAAAGATTATAGTGGGTGGTCGTAATATCACTGATGATTACTACGCAAAGAAATTGAGAGAAAAAGGTAAAGTTGTTGAAGGTGAATTAGCTGAACCAGAAGATGCTATTCCTCCAAAAGGTACACCATATAATCAAAATCAATTCGTTGCATGGCATGGTGCTTCAAGTGTATATCATGGTCAAGTTGCACCAACTCCTCAACTGGAATCATTAGAAATGAAATCAATGAAAGCACTCAAATCAACTAATCATATCAACGAAGAAAATTGGATGTATCAACATGCAGTTGCTGTTAGACAATTTGATTCAAGTTTATTACAAGGACGTCAAATTTTATCTAAAGGGCTAAAAGATCCTTACACTGGTATTGTTTTCGTGCCTGAATTAACTCAACCAAACCGTGTTCAATTCAAAAAAATCATTGATCCAAGGGAAGAAGATGATGGTTCAAAAAAGAAATTGATTTATGAAACCATTGTAAAGACTGATAACTTGGCTAAACATACAGGGTTGAAGAATGTTCCACTAGAAATTTTCGATGGTGTCGTTAGTGAAGAAGTCAAACAGGCCATTTTACAGCAACAAAAATATGAGGAATTGAGTTAAATTTAAGAAAATGATTGTGTCTTGTCACTTGTGTATTATAAAGAATTGTTTTTTAAATAAACTTTGATGTAGCGATTTTAATGGTTAAATGAACCCTTTTAGAAAACTTTGTGTCTTATCCCTTGCTTCAGATAACATACACTTTGCAAATTAGCGCTAGTACACTTTGCAAATTAGTAGCTCCTGTATTGAATTCAATTCAATAGACTCAGCTAGATCCAGATCCCGAATATCTTATTAACGTTACATAAGCATTTTGGGATTTTTCCAACACCGAAGAAAAAAACGGGACATAGTTCTGATGGCAATAACCCACAAAAGGTGTTGATACTCTATCAAATCTATCTACCAAACTTACATCAAATTAAGGATTTCAAAGGCTACGAGGATATAAGTTTGATTGAAAGTGCGTATAAAACTGCATTTTTCTGTTAGAAAGGGAAACATTTGGATTGACTTTGTATTGGACTTGGAGATTGTCTCAAGTACCACAAGGCTACAGAATATTGCCTCCAGGAAAGTTTTTGAAGGAATCATATATTAACTTATCAACAGATTCATCATTAATTGAATAAAATGATCAGATCAAGACTATCCTCAGTGCTAGTAAACTCTGCTAGAGTATCGAGGTTCACTTCTCGATCAACTTTGATAAATACAATACTACCAAGAACTAATATCAAGACAATAAATCCAATAATATTCAACGTTAGGCAATTTCAAACCTCAAGATTGTTGTTAAAAAATGATTCTAAAACCAATAATGATAATGAAACTTTTTATGCGGGTATTGAAGGTTACAAAATTCAAAAATCCTTAAATTTAACATCAGAAGAATTTGCTAAATTAAAGAATAAGATTAATTTCTATGAGAGTCCAGATTATGTTGTTCCAGAATTAATGGATAATAACATAAATCCATTGAAATATATAAGGCTATTCTTAGAAGCTGGTGCTAAGGAAGATTCGATTTTAGCTAGAGATTTAGCTATTTTTGATAAAATGTTTCGTCCTGATGTAAACGAAGAATTACCACCGTTACCATCTTTTTTCAAACTGTTTAATCCATTTCTACCATTCACAAAAAGTATTGATGCTTCAGATTTAAGAAATATGAATATCAGTGAAATGGAAAATGGATCCAAAGGTAAAGAAGAACAAGCTGAAAAGAAGACTCAAACAAAAGAAGAATCTAAAGAAGAAGACGCATTTGAGAAAGATACTAGAACTGAAGAAGAAAAGAAAAGGGATGAGTTTTTTAAAAGAATTGAAGAAAAAGCTGAAAAGGAAAATAAGAGATTTACCAAAGATAGTTCAGATCCAAATGTTAGTATCTATGCTTTAAGAGTTCAACCTTTTGAGTTGATTTTATTCATTGTTGCATTGTTCTATTTTGGTACTCTATTCTTTTCAAGTGATAATTCTCATGAAATAACATTCCAAGAATTCCGTACAAAATTTTTAGACAAGGGATTAGTTGAAAAATTAATCATTGTTAATAAAAGTATTGCTCGTGTTGTTTTAAATGATAATGGACGTCAACAAACCGGTGGTAACTTAGATTATTATTTCTTTACCATTGGTTCAATTGATAATTTTGAACATAAATTACAAAGAGCACAAAATGAAAATGGTGTTCAAGAAGATTTCAAAGTTCCAATTGTTTATGTTCAAGAAGGTAGTTTCATCAGAACTATATTCCAATTCTTACCAACTGTATTGATGCTTGGTGGTCTATATTGGATTACAAAGAGATCTACCAGTGGATCAGGTGGATTCGGTGGAGCTGGTGGTATTTTCAATGTTGGTAAAAGTAAAGCTAAGAAATTCAATCAAGAAACTGATGTTAAAGTTAAATTTCAAGATGTTGCAGGTATGGCTGAAGCTAAAGAAGAAATTATGGAATTTGTTGAATTCTTGAAGAATCCAAAAAAATATGAAAAATTAGGTGGTCAAATTCCTAGAGGTGCTATACTTTCAGGTCCACCAGGTACTGGTAAAACTTTATTAGCTAAGGCCACTGCTGGTGAAGCTGGTGTTCCGTTCTATTCAGTTTCAGGTTCAGAATTTGTTGAAATGTTTGTAGGTGTTGGTGCATCTCGTGTTCGTGATTTATTCAAAACTGCAAGAGAAAATGCACCAGCTATTGTTTTCGTTGATGAAATTGATGCAATTGGTAAAGCTCGTTCAAAAGGTAATATCAGTGGTGCTAATGATGAAAGAGAAACTACTTTAAATCAATTATTAGTTGAAATGGATGGTTTCCAAACTGGTGAACATGTTGTTGTTTTAGCAGGTACAAATAGACCGGATGTTTTAGATCAAGCTTTAATGAGACCTGGTAGATTTGATAGACATGTCCAAATTGATAAACCTGAATTAGAAGGCCGTAAAGAAATCTACCAAGTTCACTTGAAGAAAATTAAATTAGCACTCAATGAAAGTACAAAATCTGATGAAGCCAAAAAGCAAGACTTTGAAGAATTAGCTGGTAAATTAGCTGCTTTAACTCCTGGTTTCTCAGGTGCTGATATTGCAAATGCTGTTAATGAAGCTGCTTTGATTGCCGCTAGAAAAAATGATGCTAACGTTGATTTACATCATTTTGAACAAGCCATTGAAAGAGTTATTGCTGGTTTAGAAAAGAAATCTAAATTGTTATCACCAAAGGAAAAGAAAGTTGTTGCATATCATGAAGCCGGTCATGCTATTTGTGGTTGGTATTTGGAATATGCTGATCCATTATTGAAAGTCAGTATTATCCCAAGAGGCCAAGGTGCTTTAGGTTATGCTCAATATTTACCTCCAGATATTTATTTATTAAGTGTTGATCAATTATATGATCGTATGACTATGGCATTAGGTGGTCGTATTAGTGAAGAATTACATTTTCCATCAGTTACATCAGGTGCAAGTGATGATTTCAAAAAAGTTAGTGCAATTGCCACCAACATGGTTACTAAATTAGGTATGTCTGATAAGATTGGTACAATTGCTTACGAACGTAAAAGTGACAACGATTTGACTAAACCATTCAGTGAAGAGACTGGTACTTTAGTTGATGAAGAAATCCAAAGAATTATCAACGAATGTGCTGATAGATGTCGTTCATTATTGAGTGCTAAATCTGAAGAACTAGAAAAAGTTGCACAATTGTTATTGAAGAAGGAAGTTTTGACCAGAAATGATATGATTGAATTATTAGGACCAAGACCTTTCAAAGAAAAAAACGATGCATTTGAGAAATATTTAGATCCTAAAAACCCAAAACCACAAGCTAATACTGATGCTTAATTATGAAATGAACTTAAAGAAAACATTACATGTATATAGAAATATTTAAAGACGTATAAGTTTATGCATTAACTAGATACTTTATAACACTAGTGTAGACCCAGCAGAACATTTCAAGACTAGATACTATTATTTCAAGACTAATCAAGACACCAGTCATAGGTCTAAATTAGTAGGGTTGGGACTCGGGATGGCACATGATGAAAAGCACAGCGAATTTTTTAAAGATCTAAAAAGATTTAAGCACTCGGTTGCATCAAAACTAGTATAAAGATCAGAAGGTTCTTTGATCATAAGAAAAACTAAATATCGTTTAGATTAGACGAAAAAGGACCCGAATTCACTCATTTTTTTGGATCATTTTTCCACTTTTCCAACCGATAACCTGACCATACTTTACTCCAACTTTCCATTCCACAGCCAAAAGTTTTTCATTTCGCAGTTTTCAGGTTCAAATTTATTTCTCCTCTGTTGTTCCCCTCTACAGCGGTCCAGGATTTCACAAACGCATTAAAACGAAGCTCTGATTTATATAAAGAGTACGAAAAGTTTCAAAGTTCATATTTGCATTCTTAAAAGAGAGCTTCACAATAGATACTGAGTGTTGTCAACAAAGAGGTGAAGGCCACAGGAACTGTTGATCAGAGACTGACACAAACCACACACCATGCTCCATATAAGGCAAAAATTACCGCTGCAATACAAGACACTTTATAGATCACTTCCAGCTATTAATCTTGGTGTTACTAGGCTAATATCAACAAGAACCAGCTCACTGGCTTCTGTTTCAACCAGTAAAGGCAACAATGGTGCTAAAGCGTCAGAACATTACAATCCAATATTTGCGTCTTCAGCCGCTTCAGTTTCTTCATCAAGCTCAAAGTTTTGGAGTCATATTCCATTAGCTCCAGCAGATCCAATATTGGGTATCACAGAGGATTTTAATAAAGATTCAAATCCGAGAAAGATTAATTTGAGTGTTGGTGCTTATAGAGATGATCTTGGTGAACCCTTTGTATTACCTTCAATCAAGAGAGCAAGTAAAATCCTTTATGAACATGAATCTAATAAGGAATACACGGGTATTAATGGATCCAAAAATTACAATACTTTAGTTAAAAACTTTCTTTTTGGTCATTCAGATATTGGGAAACAGTTCATCAAAGAAAATAGAATATCAACTTCCCAGTCATTATCTGGTACTGGTGCTTTGAAAATTGCTGGTGAATTTTTAAAAAATTGGTCACCATATAAATCTAATATAATTTACTTATCAAATCCAACTTGGGCTAATCACATCAATATTTTTAAAAATTGTGGATTAACACCAAAAGAATATACTTATTTCAATCCTGAAACAAATGCAATCAATATCGATGGATTACTCGAAGATTTATCAAATGCTGCTCCTGGATCATCTGTTTTGTTACATGCATGTTGTCATAATCCAACTGGGTTAGATCCATCAAGAGACGATTGGAACAAGATAATCGAGATATTGAGCGAACGCCAACTAGTTCCAATTATCGACATTGCTTATCAAGGGTTTCAATCAAGTTCTCTAACAAAAGATCTGTTCTTGATTGATATGATCAACGAACAAATAGAAGCAGGTAAATTGCCAACTGCCCTTATCTGTCAATCATTCGCTAAAAATATGGGACTTTATGGTGAACGTATTGGCTCTTTTTCTATAATCACACCAGATTCTTCAACAACTCAAGCTGTTGATTCTCAGATCAAGAAATTGATCAGATCAATTTATTCATCACCTTCAATTCACGGTGCAAAATTAGTTGAAATTGTGTTATCTGATAAGTCAATTTACAAACAATGGGAGCAAGATGTTGTTATTATGTCTGATCGTATTAAAGAGATGAGATTTGTCTTGTATGATTTATTGAAAGCTAAGAATCCAAAATCAAATTGGAAACATTTGATCAATCAAAATGGTATGTTCTGTTATACAGGTCTCTCTAAGGAGCAAATTTTGAGACTAAAATCAGAATTTTCCATATATGCAACATTAGATGGTAGATTCTCCATCAGTGGTATTAACAAAGGTAATGTTGAATATTTAGCTGAAGCTATTGATCAAATTACAAGATAGAAACACTTATAGTACCATTTATTATTTATTATTTATTTAATATTCTTTTTTCACTTGTGTTATATAGAGTTTTTGGGAGTTATAATATAAGAATTTGAATTTGTTATGTTTTTGTAATTTGTAAATGAATGATATTGTATATGTGTTTCCGGATCTCAATCATCACGTGAGAGAACCCCGGAAATACCGCATTGAGCGACTTGTTTGTTTTCTATGCGATCTTTGTCGGAAGTTTGCAGGCCTCTTGGAAAAGCAAATTGTTTGTGTTTTTATTTTCTAATTCCTTAGAGTTAAACTTTGTCAACCCGTGATTTTCAGGGATAGCACACCAGGCTTCATTGCGATTTCTCCAGAGAACATTCAATCCTAACCGCTCTATCCAATTAAGCTCATACTCTGTTCATATTCTTTCTGTTTATTTATTCATTGTTCAATTGAGCTTTCAAAGATATACAACAGGTTTCAGATATCCCCAACAAGTTACATATCAAAAATAAGCGAAGATGTCTGAATTCAAATCAACAACTGTTCCAACAACAGCTTTTAAAGACCAAAAACCTGGTACCTCAGGTTTACGTAAAAAAGTTACTGTTTTCAAACAACCAAACTATACAGAAAACTTCATTCAAGCCATTTTAGATTCAATCCCAGAAGGTAAACAAGATTCAACTTTGGTTGTTGGTGGTGATGGTCGTTATTACAATGATCATGTTATCCAATTGATTGCTGCTATTTCTGCCGCCAATGGAGTTTCCAAATTAATTATTGGTCAAAATGGTTTATTATCAACCCCAGCTACTTCTCATGTCATTAGAACCCACCCAGGTAAAATCACTGGTGGTATCATCTTAACTGCTTCCCATAATCCAGGTGGACCAGAAAACGATTTAGGTATAAAATATAACTTAGCAAATGGTGGTCCAGCCCCTGAATCTGTTACCAATGCTATGTTTGCTAGATCATTAGAATTACAAAATTATCAAATCATTCAAGACTTTCCAAAGGTTGATTTATCAACAATTGGCGAAACCAAAGTTGGTCCTTTAACTATTGAAATCATTGATCCAACTCAAGCTTATGTTAAATTTTTGAAAGAAATTTTTGATTTTGATTTGATTAAAAAATTCATTGAAGCTCAAAAACCAAAAGGTTTCAAAGTTTTATTTGATGCTTTGAATGGTATTACTGGTCCATATGGTAAAGCTATCTTCATTGATGAATTAGGATTACCATTAGAATCTATTCAAAACTACGTTCCAAAAGAAGATTTTGGTGGATTACATCCAGATCCAAACTTAACTTATGCAAGAACTTTAGTTGATAGAGTTGATAATGAAAACATTGCCTTTGGTGCTGCTTCTGATGGTGATGGTGATAGAAATATGATTTACGGTTCAGGCCCAGCTTTTGTTTCACCAGGTGATTCAGTCGCTATTATTGCCGAATATGCTGATTTCATTCCTTATTTCAAAAAACAAGGTGTTTACGGTTTAGCCAGATCAATGCCAACATCTGCTGCTTTAGATCTTGTTGCTAAAGATAAAGGTTTAGAAATTTATGAAGTCCCAACTGGTTGGAAATTCTTCTGTGCTTTATTTGATGCTAAAAAATTATCAATCTGTGGTGAAGAAAGTTTCGGTACAGGATCAAACCATGTAAGAGAAAAAGATGGTTTATGGGCCATTGTTGCTTGGTTAAACGTTTTAGCCGGTTACAGTGAATTACATCCAAATGATGATGTTTCAATTAAAATCGTCCAACAAAAATTCTGGGAAAAATATGGTCGTATTTTCTTCACTAGATTTGATTTTGAAAATGTTGAAAGTGACGGTGCTAATAAATTAGTTAAAAAATTTGGTGAGTTTGCTACATCAAAAGAAACTATTGGTTCAACTATATATGGTGATGTGAAAGTTACAGAAGCTGGTGATTTCAGCTATACCGATTTGGATGGATCAGTCTCTAAAAACCAAGGTTTATTCGCTAAACTATCAAATGGTTTAAGAATTGTTGTTAGATTGTCAGGTACAGGTTCTGCAGGTGCTACTATTAGATTATATTTAGAAAAGTTCTCAAACGATTCATCATTATATGAAAAGGATGCTACTGAATTTTTAAAAGATGACATCGAACAAGTTACTAAATTTTTACAATTCAAAGAATTCGTTGGTAAAGATAAACCAGATGTTATCACTTAGATTCAGAGTTGGAAAAACAATATATATTTAGCTATTTATCATAATTATAATTTTTTTAAATAATTTAAGGTTGCATGGAGGAAAGAAAAAATAATTTGCTATAGAAAACATTTAGTATTGCTTAAATAATTCATTTTAAATGAAACTTACACATAATATAATAAGTACATAATTTGTAGAGGTAATATTATTGTAGTTGCAGATTATATAGTATACGTATACGACTTTGTAAAATGATTACCTAAGTCATCACTTGGTTAAGGCAACATCACCGAAAAATTTATTCTTAAGTGAAGCCTCCCAAGATAGACTTGATCCATATAATAACTTGTAGTGTGTATCATTTAATTACTGTTATAGATACATAATTGTTGCTACATAATAATGCCTAAACAAAACAGTCTTTGGAGACTAGATCTTCTTGAAGTTGAATTTCTCAAAACAGAACCACGTTATCCTAAATCAAAAGTCTTATTAAAATCAAAAAGGAAACAATCGTTAATACCAAGTAATAAATCTCAAGCTTTAAAAGAAATTGATGCTTTAAGACAAGATGTCTTCGATAAAAAATTACACAGTTCTTTAGTCAAATATAAAAGAGCTTTGAAAAAGATCGTCAAAGCTCCAGCTTCAAAGAAAACTTCAGAAGAAGAAACTAAATTCATCAAGAGCTTAGATATTGATAGAATTACAAATATTAAGATTGTTAAATTGATCCAAAATGTTTTCAAATTGATACCTAAGAAACTTCAGAATGAGCCTGAATCAACACCAAAATACTTACCAGCATGGATCGTTGAATCCCTAACTGATAAAGAATCACCAAATAATCAATCAAATTTTTATAATTCTTTATCACAAGATCAAAAAAATTATTATTCAAAACTTATGAACCATAAAGAAATTTCAAGTATTGTGAAGATTGTGGAGAACAGTTTCAAGATCATTTTAGGTCCTGTTAAGGATAAAGATGGAAAGAAAGATATTGAAGATCTTGAATCAAGTGAAAGCGAAAGTGAAGAAGAAGAAACTAAAGGAAACGATGACAAAGATGAAGAAAGCGAAGAAGAAGAAGCAGAAGATAGAAGAAACAGCGAAGATGCAAGTGATGATGATTACAGTAAATATGATGCTTTGGTTGCTGGATCTGAAGATGAAGATGAAGAAGTTGAACTAGATAATGAGATTAATTATAATAGTGTGACAGATACAGAGCCTTCAGATCAAGAACAAGCAGAAGAATCAGAATCAGAAGCAGATGATTTCTTTGAAGAAGAACCTAAAAAGACCAAAAAGGAAAAGGAAAAGGAAAAGCTTAAAAAAGAAGAAGCTAAATATAATTTACCAGAACTAGCTGCTGGTTATTTTTCAGGTGGATCAGATTCAGAGATTGAAGAAGATGAATTAGTTGAAGAAATAACTAAACCAAAAAAGAAGAATAGAAGAGGTCAAAGAGCAAGACAAAAAATTTGGGAAGCTAAGTTTAAAAACAATGCAAATCATATAAAGAAAGAAAGAGATGAAAAGCAGCAACAACGTGAACAAAGACAAAAAGAATATGAAGAAAGAGTCGCTAAAAGGGCCGCTAAAGCTAAAGAAATGGAAGTCACTGGTTCAAATTCAGCTCCATTGAAGCAACGTACTTTCAATAAAGACGCCAAACAACCAGAGCCATTACCTTTCTCACCACAACCTGAACCAGCTAAAGCTGAAGAAAAAGATACTAAATTACATCCATCTTGGGAAGCTAAGAAGAGACAAGAAGAAGCTTTGAAGAACGTTAAGTTCCAAGGTAAGAAAGTTAAGTTTTAATCCGAGTAATAATATCATTAATGCATGTTTCATATATAGAGAATAAAATTTTTATCGTGTAGGGTTTTTTATCTTTTTATATCTCTTCTGAAGTGATTGAAATGAGACTATTTTAGTTTATTAATCATCCCAGAGTCTAATGCATGTTAAATGATTATCGCGGGAAAACTACCCTTATAAAAAGTTAAAACATTAGTAGATCTAAAATTTGAGCGTCTATTGTTTGATCACAAGAATATTCAATGATCTATCTAACCATCAATAAACCATGTCGTTTATTCTCAAGAGATTCAATTCCACCTCATCATTGTCATCACCGTCATTGATTGGTAAAACAGCAGTTGTAACTGGTGGTTCTCGTGGACTAGGACTCCATATTGCTAAGAAGCTATCGGAACAAGGAGCTAGCATCATTTTAGTATCACGCCAAAAGGACGTTTTGAGGCATAATTTGAAACATGAGTTGTCAATAATATCCAATAACCAGGAACATGGGTATATACAATGTGATCTATCAGATACAGGCTCAATTTATGAAACTTTTTTATCAGCAAATCAATTGAAGAAAGCATCAATATTGATCAATTGTGCTGGTGTATCACAAAACTCTTTGTTATTTTCTACCCCATCATCATTAGTTTCTAAGATTATTGATACTAATTTGACTTCATCAATTATTTTATCCCAAATACTTTTGAAGCAATTGATGAAAAATTCGCCATCTTCAATTATAAACATTTCATCTGTTTTAGGACTGAAAGGGTTCAAAGGAACCTCAGTATACAGCGCTTCTAAAGCTGGGATAGTAGGATTCACCAGGGCTTTAGCTGTTGAAATGGGATCTAAAAAGATAAGAGTCAATAGCATATCACCTGGTTTAATTAAGGAAACAGAAATGGGAAAGGGTTTACATTATGATAATGCATTGCAAAAAGAAGGAGTGCCATTAAATGATATAAGCAATACTGTGCTGTATTTATTGGAGAATGAAAGCATCACTGGCCAAAACATTGTTGTTGATAATGGTATTGTGATCTAAATTAAATCTCCAGATGATATTTTGGCTCTTTTATATCGTGATTTCCCACTAACAAGTTTGATGTCTTTTTTGATCAATGGTGATTCATAATTGATTCCTAATGCGAATTTATTGAAAAATGATGTTATATGATATTCAGGCTTGAAAATCTTCAGCAGAATAGTTTTTTCATGTAATGAGATACATTTATGACTATATTTGTTGTTTTTGCTGAAAAATGCTTCCAATAATGCCATAGTGTTTCCAAATTGTTCAACCGGTTGACATATTGTTTGGATGATGCTAATGAATTTGATGCTTTTGTTTGTTATGCAAGTTGTGTATTTAATGAACCTTGATAATTGCTCCATAATAATGTAATGTTCTTTTTGAAGTATGTTTGATTCTTTCATAAAATTTTTAGGATCTATCAGTTTTCTAATCTGTTTCTCTATAAGATTGATTATGATATCAAGACATACTGAATAATGTGCTCTACTGTATTGATCCATTAATCCATACAGATAGCTTAAATGTTCATCATTACATGCTTCAATGTAATCCAGACAGTTAACAAATATGACTTTTCTAGTATCAATTGATGTTCCTTGTGCTATTGTCTCAATTATTTCTATTCTTTCCCAAAATTCCACAAGTTCATGTTCTTGAATTACTTGCTCTATCAACATCTCACAAATGGGGAGTTTCGATATGATACATTTTTGAAAGATCTTGGGTAGTAAAAGTGAAGACATAAGGTGACCTGATTGTATCACGTTTCTCAAAGAGTGACCTAACTTATAGTATAAGCCATATTGATTATCAATCATAGTATAATATGGCGTCGTCATCAGTTCTGTTTCATTTTTAGGTTCTGTTAGGCCAATTTTAAAGGCAGAAAGGGATGACAGCGTAGGAAACCCCTTTGAGCTGGCCATATATATGAATGCATCCGTAAAGTATTCAAGCTGTCCCAGAGCAAGAGTACATGGTTCAGTGAGCTCTGTGCCATATGATTCTTCCTCCTTATTTGCTTCAAATGACTGGTCCATATTCCCTATTGATTCACCTTCAATTCCAGATAAATCATTGATTTTGGGCAGTTTAATATCAGCTTTTGTTCTTTTGTATACATTTTTTGATTTCAATCTTTTTTGTGGTTTCACTTCTTCCAGAGTTAAACTTTCATTCTTCTCATCTTGAACTATACTATTCTCATTATGATGATCTTCTCCTTCATACTGTTTGAATATAGACCTATTTTCCACCAATTCGTGATATTTCAAAAGACTTTCATTTATACCTTGTACCAATTCATCGAATTCTCGAGCCATACTCTTTGAATGACAGTTAACGAGCAAAAATGTTTCTTTCAAACGTTTAAAATCATCAATGTTTATACAATAAAATCGAAATCAAAACAATAATCCCAAAACGGAAACTGCCTAATAAGGAAAATATTTTCATCTTTTTCTTTCTTTTATGTTCTGCGAACGACCTCGTGGAAAATTTAAAAAAATAAAAAAAAAATTTTCCTTACTTTAATCAACACTTTTCAACTCATCAATCAGACCTCTATTAACTTCAAAATGATTATTTACCAAGTAAGTGAATCGAATGAGTGAACTCAGCGGGTGATTTGATGTATATGATGTTAGTTAGAACTTTTGAATTGGTCAATTACCAATTTTTATAGATCTTATCAGCCTTTCATCAAATTTTCCAACAATACAATGTGAAGAAATATTGGCTAACAAGTTTTAAACAGGATATTTTCTCAAACGACGAATTGTTATCAGACTCTTATGAACCAAAATTAGTTGACGGTGTTGTCTACGAAGCTGACTGTGCTAACATCGTTGTCGGTGACGATAACATTGATATTGGTGCCAACCCATCTGCTGAAGATGCTGAAGAAGGTGTTGATTCAAGCAAAGAAACTGTTAACAACATTGTTTACAACTTCCGTTTACAACAAACTGCTTTCGACAAAAAATCTTTCTTAGTTTACATTAAGGATTACATGAAGAGAGTTGAAAAATACTTACAAGAAAAAAACCCAGATGAAGTTGATACTTTCAAAAAAGGTGCTGCTACTTACGTTAAAAAAGTTATCGGTTCATTCAAAGACTGGGAATTCTTCACTGGTGAATCTATGGATCCAGATGCTATGATCGTCTTAATGAACTACCGTGAAGATGGTACTACTCCATACGTTTGTGTCTGGAAACATGGTATCTCAGAAAACAAAGTCTAAGCTTTGAAAAAATTTAATAAATTATATATATATTATTAGCCTTAATTACGTGAAGTTTTTTTCAATTCTTAATCGCTTGTTCGTTTACAAACTTGTAGAAAATTTTTATAATCTATTTATATGCATTCCATTATTTATTCACGATCATACATGTATTCTCCAATGATATTTCTTTTGGTACATAATGACACAATTGAACTTTATAACCCTTTTGCTCTAGAGCATATCTTCTTGATTCATCAATTATCCTTCTAGCTTTTAATCCCAGATCTTCTCTTTGCTTGATACTCAAACCACTCACATGATCGGTACCATCTTCATCTTTCATACCTGGTCTTCTACCATTAACTGCCCAACTTGCAAATTTCATAAAATGTTTGAAACCTTCTTTTTCAACTCCAAATTTTTTGAGATACTCAATTGAATCTTGTGATAACATATTGTAGTCACAACAGTGTCTACAACACATTGCAACGATCATACCTGTGAATCTTGAATTGAATTTTGAGTTAGCTAAGATACATTGTATGGTTAGATCTGTAGCGGCACCACATAAATGCTTAGAGACACCAACAAATCCCTTTTCATTTGCAAAATCAGTTTCAACAATGTTATCAAGATATAAATCTTTGATATCAATCTTAACTCTATGGATTTTGGTCTTTAGCTTTCGCTCTTCAGCATCCTGTATCATCTTAGAGTCTAATTTCATTCTAGTTGGCGATCTATCAATAAGTATAAAGTCTGCAGCTGAGCCAGTCTTATGAATGACAGATTTGGCGATATATCTTGAAAGTTCAGCCCTACCACATCCAAATTCAACATATGTTAATTCATTTGATAATAGATTCTTGTTATCTAGATGTGAGATCAATGATGATTGTTGAACAGCATGTTTTGGGTTTCCTAACTCTTCAACTCTTTCCTTGACACCGTCATGCTCTAGTTGAATTAACTCTAAGTCCCTAAAATTTGAATATATGCTTTCAACTTTGGGTATCCATTTAGAATAGTCAATTTGAGTATCTTGATCATCTACTTTTGATGGTAAAACACAATTATGATTCTCTTTAAACCATGACACCTGCTTAGATTCCACTGCTTTAGCACCACATTTCTTCACGTGTGATTTCAAGTCTTTTTGCCAGACAGTATGTCTTGGATCAACCGTACATGTTACTCTGATATCATTTTGAGTTTGTTTTAAATGTTCAGCACAGTATTGTACATCTTTCTTACAAGTTAAAGGGCATCTTCTGTTTTTCTTGGGTATGATGAATTCACATTGTAATCTCTCTTTATCAACAACTTTACCTTCTTTTTCTTTTCTTCTTCTTTTTGCTGATATTTTAAGCTCTGGGTCAGCTAGTGGAGCTTGATGAATATTATCAACTTTTGAACTAGACATTTTTCAAACTCGACCTTTATACCAGTTAATTTTTTTCCAAATAAATTTAAGCTCAACTAAACTGGCATACGTATCACACAGTTCACTCGTATTAGACTTTCCAACGGTTTCAATAAGATTATGTTACTAGCTAGATCAGGATAATTTGTCTTAAATGGTATACAGACGTTCATCATGAAAAAATTGAGATTTACCCGCAAGATTTTCGGAGCTATAGATTGTTCAGTTGTGATTTTGAAGGCGAAAAACCGTCAAAACAATAGAGATCAATACCTCAACACAGGCTCAAGAATTCAAGGATATGTCGTTTGGGAACCCCTTTGCAAGCTCAGTGTATGAAGACGAGTCTGGAACCAGCGGTCTCGGCTACAATGGGTTCGAAGTGTCGTTGAACTACATCAGCGGTCTTCCAGATCCTAATATTGTGTCTAACTCTTCACTGAAGTTGATATTCAAGTCGCTTTTGAAAAGAGATGATACCACCAAGGAAAAGGCATTGAATGAGCTTACCAGCTATGCCGCTTTGAAAGAAAACCAACCAGAGTTGAAAGACGACTTGGTGCTGATCACATGGGTTCAATTATACCCAAAACTCTCCATTAGCGAGAGCAAAGCTGTCCGTTCTTTAGCTCATCATGTTCAAACATTGTTCATCAGCAATCTGCAAAAAAGTTATGCCAAATACTTGCAAGACACAATTCCAATACTTCTTACTGGGTTATATGATTTGGATACCTCGGTGGTGAACTCTACAACTAAGCATTTACAAGCCGCTTTCAATAATGACCAGAACAAAGTAAATAATGTCTGGATCCTGTTTCAAACACAGATCCTTAACTTTGCGGATCAAGTATTGAATAAAGAAACCATTGACAGTTTATCAGATGATAGATTTGTCGCCAGAGATGAAGCGGAATTGAAGTATTTAAGATTAGTCAATGCCACAATTTCTGTTGTCAATTACTTGATTCAATTAGGATTTACCACCAACCCAACCAAAATGGAGAAGAATTTAGAGTTATATTACAAGTTCTTTACTTATGAAAATTTATGGCACCTCTTACTTGTTAATACCAACTTGAATAACCAAAGAATTTATAAGACTTTGTTAAGTTTGTTAAATTCAACTTTGAAAAATAGACCAGACCTCATAACAGATAAAGCATGGAAGCTCATAAGTAAAAGGTTCTTAAAATCATTAACGTTTACCAAGAAAGTTGACTCAAAATCTCAAAATTCTGTTATATATTCATCGCTTGTCATTCCAATTCTCTCTACCTTGATTAATTTGGAGAAGAATAAACCTGGTTTTCAAGAATATGACAAATCTGCTAAAGAAAGAGTTGTTGGTTTATTGAAAATAGGCTCATTGAACTCTGATGCTATCTATTATACCTTATTACAAAGCTTTTTAACTTTAACATCCATTATAGATTTGCAAGATGAAGTTGAATCCAAGACAATAGAAAACATTTTATACGATGATTTTAAATCTGAGGTTTCCAAAAACTTAAGATTCAGAAATGGTGCTTCTTTCATTATCAATTCATTATCATTATATTTGACTATAGTTACAAAATTTCAAGATAAATCACAAACTGAAAAGCTATTAGGAAATATAACTCATGAAGTTTTACAAATTAAGTCACCAGTTACATCTCAATTAACAGGTATTTTATCCAAATATGTCAAACCTGAAATTGTTCAAAAAGAGATTTTGGAGACAAATCCAGATAATGTTAATAATATATTGTCATTAAGCACAAAGACAGCTACTCCAATCGATGAGCTATTATCAAAATCATTTGACTCTCTAAAAATCAAATCCGAAGATGAATCTCAAGACATCTCAAAAGAACCTGCATTCACCATCTATGAACATATTATCAATTCAAACATCACTGATTATTCTACACAAGTCAATGAATTTATTGATGAACTACCAAGTTTCGTTTCTACAAACTTCATTGATCAACCAATCCGCATTTTGATCAAATATGCCGAATCAGATTTATTCAGCGAAGAAGTGTTTTATGAATCATTTGAGACTTTAATCCTCAAGTTGGAGTACATCAACGCAACTTCACATCTATTGAATAGACTGGATTCTTTCAAAAATAGGGATGAATTATTACAGAATAGTTCTGGTTTAAAGAAACTATTGAAAGACTCAATCTCTAAATATGATTTTACAAGTGATTATTTATTCAAACCATATTTCACAAATCCAACAACTATCATTAATCTTTATAATGTTGCAGATCAACAGGAGAAAGTTCCAATTTTTGTTGATTACTATTGGAGATATAATTCTGAAGATGATGAACTTTTCTGTTTATTATCTAGACAAACCAATTTCTTGGATCATGCTTTATGGAGAAGCCCATTGGCTATACCTGTTCATAAGAAAGTTGAATCATTCTTTCCGAAACATGCTGATTTAAGAACTAAATTTTTCACAAGTTTAAGACAACACGTTGTGGATAATGGTGCTTCTTTAGAAATTGAAAATCATATCACCAATTTATTGGACCAAAACCCAGATTTGGTCAAAGAAATTATTCCAGATAACTATACAAAGACAATCACCGAAGCTTACGGTGAAGTTATAGACTCAAGATTAGCTTTGGGAAACCCATTGCAATCGAACATTTACATTTTAAACACGGAAGAGAATTCATTCAAAGCTGAAGAGGTTGTTTCCTTGATCAAATATGCACAATTTTTGGATAACATGGCTTATGAATTCAAGCCTGAAGTTGTTTTGAACTTCAATGTCATTTCAGAAATCGCTGCTGATTACGAATTTTTGGTTGATGAATCAAAATCAAAATTTTCATCTGATTCATTATTACAATTTCAAAGAATATCAAATGAGAAGTTCAATAGTTTTTTTGCAAATGAATCTTTCAATTCATTAGTCTCACAAATCATTTCTGGTGAATTTTCAAATGATTTATTACGTTTACTTGTTGAACCAAATTCTTCATCAGTCTTTTCATTCTATCATAACAGACTTCTAAAGCATGTCTTATCTGCTTTATTCAACGCTCAATCTCCAAAGGTTACAGAGCTTGATATTGATGGGTATGTTAAAAAGGGAATTCGTTCAAAGGATTCATCATTCTTATTAAGTCTAACCACTGTCCTTTCTGTTTTGGGGTCATCATTGGCTGACCTACAATATGAAAGATTAAGAAATTTGGTCGGCTCTGAATTAATAGGGTTAAGACCTATAGAAATCAACACTGAAGGTCTCAAGAAATTGAGTATTTTGAATAACTTTGTTGGCTCTGGGGATTTTGATTCTGATTTTGTACCATTTCAGCCTCAACGGTTCAATATGATTATCAATGAAGTCAACAAATGGTTAGAATCTGATGTCGCTTTTGAACCAGAATTCGTCTTCGTTAGATTACAATTATTGCAATTTTTAACAAGTATTAATGGACTAGAATTTGAAAAAACCGAAAACTTTGTTGAATTAAGTATTAGAGTACTACAAGATACGATTGGTATTGTTAGTGTTGGAGAAGAAGACCGCTCACTAGAGTTGAAATATTATTCATTAAAGTTATATTTGACTTTAGAGAAACGTGGATTATTAGAAAAATCTACTGCTACTGATTTACAATCTGAAATTTTGGAATTCTTCATTAATGAAAATTACAAAGAGGTTAATCGACCAGTCTTCATTTACAACAACTTATTGAATAGAATTTTGAATAAGATTCCTACTAAACAATTTGGTGAACGTTATTCAGAATTATTTACAAAATTTCAGAATTCCACAAATTTCGAATTGAAAAGACCATTATTACAAATCATTTCAAGGGTTATCATAGCAAGACAGCAGGATTTAGTTATCGAATTTGAGTTATCAAAAGATGGTGATGATTTAAGTAATTTCAAAATTCCACAAAATTTGATTGATAACGTTTTGAAAGTTCCTGAATTTGATGAAGATGATTTAGAAGAAGAAAAGAAATTGATCAATTATTTGTGGAACTGGGTATTGATTTTATTAAACTTTAAAGATATCACATTAAGGTTACGTGCTTTATATATTAATCAATTACAAACTGAAAATGATGAATTAATTACAAAATTTTTAAATTTCATTTCATTATTAATTAATGGATTTAGTGATGATAAAGAATTTAATCAAAAAATTTCAAATGATCATGATAGTTTTATAAATTATGGATTTGAGAATTCTGTTGATGATTTAGTTGTCGAGGTCAGATTATTATCAATTCATTTATTCTATACTATTTTAACATCAATTGGTTCATCAGCATCAAATTGGTTCAATGATATTAAAGATCGTAATTTTAAAGCAAGAGTTGAACAATTCACAAGTAAATTCATTTCACCAAGTTTAATTAATCATAAATTGAATGATTTTGAATCTAAATCAACTAGTTTAACATCTAAAGATGATAATTTGAAAATCAAAATTAATAGAATTACAAATGAAATGAAGGCATCGTATTTAATTGATGAACAATACTTGGAGGTTGTATTCAAAATTCCAATTACATTCCCATTAAACAATATTGAAGTCTTAGGACCATCAAGAGTTGGTGTTAAAGAACAACAATGGAAAGCATGGTTATTATCATCACAACGTATTATATCATTACAAAATGGTGAAATTTTAGAAAGTTTGGAGTATTTCCTCAAAAATGTTTCATTCCATTTTAAAGGATTTGAAGAATGTGCAATTTGTTATTCAATTTTACATCAAGATAATTCATTACCTTCCAAAACATGTTCAACATGTAAAAATAAATTTCATGCAGGTTGTTTATATAAATGGTTTAAATCAAGTGGTGGTAATACTTGTCCATTATGTCGTTCAACATTTAACTTTAGATGATCAAATGACCAAATATGATATCACTACTTGATACATGATCTTACAGTTGACATATAGATGATACAATTTATAATTTAATTTAAAATAAAGTTTAATAAATGATCTAGAATTTTATGCAAACCGTATTAATATATCGAATTATTTTTTATATTATTCAATGAAATGTTATTACTACATTAGGAAGTCAAGGAAATCTCATATAAAATTAGCCGCGAAAATATATTTCTATGAAAAACCTCCGCGAAAAAATTCGATCTGTTGAAAAAATGTTCAATACTGAAAAAAAATGGTTGGTTGATTGATATTTGAAGCTATTGATTGTTGATTAAATTACATTTTAATCATATCATAATTGCAAAAATGGCTACAAAATTTCGTGGGGCCAACTGGTTACAAAAGAATGATTTTGCACCACAAATTTTCTTATTCAGAAACTTAGAAACTGGTCAAGTTTTATATTCACAATTACCAGAATTTAGTGACTATCAAATTAAAAAACAATTTCAAAGACCAAATTGGGAAAATAGAAGACCTAAAACACGTCCAGATATTTGGAGAATAATGGCTGTTGCAAACTTCCCAACTTATGAAAGTTCAATTAAAGCATTTGAATCATTAGTACATTTAAGAACTTTAAGAGATGTTGTTACAAAAGATGTTGCAATGAAATATAGACCAAAAAATGAAGATAATCATATTTGGTATAGTGGACAATTTAGACCAGTTTATACACAAGAAGCTGTTGCAGATTTAAATAATGTTATTCAACATATTGGATCTAAAACCACAATATTTTGGGAAGATGAATGGAGAAAAGGTGATTCAAGTCATTGGAAACCAGAATTAGTACAGCATGAAACAATGAATAGAACAGGTACAAGAATTCAAAGTGCATTATTAGATGAATTAAGAGTCAAAGGACGTGAATTATTCCAAAAGGCAAGTAGGGAAGAAAATACTCGTAAACAAAAGAGAGAAGCTGATAGAGCCAGAAAGGCTAGAAGAAAAGCTGCTGTACAAGCTGAACAAACTGAACAACCAACAGTGTAAATAATAAAATAAAAATATTTAATCAAAAAATAATCTGGAGATGATTAATTAGCATATAGTTTCCAAAAAGTGTAAATAGACGTCATGAGAGACCAATATTGTTTCTAGAATAATCTTCGTTATTAATCGTAGAATCGCATTCATGTTCCCATGTTACTAATGTCGTACTACTAACAAATCTTAAAAGTCACCTGTTTTGCGTCTCTTCTCCCCGTGCGCTGACCAGTTCCCTGTCTATTTTATGGGCAGATGGCCTTGTCTAGGCAGACCTAAATAGAAAGTAGGCAGAGTGCACCTGTGACCAGCCTGCCCGGCTAGTGGCAAGTGCCCTCTTAGTGCCCGCCTAACCCCTTTCTTTTGAGCGTTGCGCGCTGCGAAGAAAAGAAAGAACAAGTGAAAAGTTTAAAAACATTTCAAACAAACAAATAAATGCACAGATCGCCATAATTTCACGTAAACAAGAGAGATTTAATTAAATAAACCTTGTTAACAAACACAAATCAAAACAAGACCATTAAGTTTATAAAGATAAAGTTTTGCTGGGATTTATCACGTTTAGTACACAGCAAAAAGTTTTAAGTACTAGTTTTCTAGATTTTGACAGGTATAAAAGACCATTTTTCTCGTTTAAAAACATCTCAAAAACATCACAAGGTCCGTTGAGTGTTATATAAACATTGAGAATCCATCAAGTTTCTTACAACAAAATCTTTTGATAGTTTGAGATCATATACACAAAAGACATGAGCTCTCATCAGTTTTTGATCAACCAAACAACTTTGGCGGCTCCACCTGTTCATTTGGTGGAGAAACCAAGTTTGATTAATGGCATACCGGATAACATTTTAGCCTTGATTGCACCTGTTATAGCTTATTATTCATATTCAGGATTTTTCTATGTGATTGATACTTTAGAAATTGCAGAACTTTATAGAATTCATCCACCTGAAGAAGTTAGTTCAAGAAATAAAGCTACAAAATTTGATGTTTTAAAAGATGTTGTTTTACAACATTTTATACAGAGTGTTGTTGGTTATATCTTTACATATTTTGATCCAATTCAATATACTGGTGATGAAGAATATCAAGCTTGGAAATTACAACAAACTTTACCATTTTTACCATTTGATGTTGCATATTATTGGAATATGTATGGTTGGAGTTGTTTGAAAATTGGTCTTGCATTTTTAATTATTGATTCATGGCAATATTGGTTACATAGAATTATGCATTTAAACAAGACATTATACAAAAGATTCCATTCAAGACATCATCGTCTTTATGTCCCATATGCTTTTGGTGCTTTATATAATGATCCATTTGAAGGGTTTTTATTGGATACCTTAGGTACCGGTATTGCTGCAATTGTTACTCAATTAACTCCAAGAGAATCTATTGTTTTATATACATTTTCAACTTTGAAAACTGTTGATGATCATTGTGGTTATTCATTACCTTATGATCCTTTCCAAATTTTGTTCCCAAATAACTCAATTTATCATGATATTCATCATCAACAATTTGGTATCAAGACCAATTTTTCACAACCTTTCTTTACACATTGGGATGTTTTCAGTAATACAAGATATAAAGAAATTGATGAATACAGAGAAAAGCAAAAAGCTATTACAATTGCCAAATATAAAGAGTTTTTACATGATCGTGAAATTGCAAAACAAAAGAAGAAGGCTGAAATTTATAAAGATAAGAAAACTGATTGATTTCGATCAAATTTTCATTATAAATTTATGACTAATATCATTTTACAAACAATTTTGTCATTATACCCAACATTATTAATCTAATAAATCACAATTTAACTTTTGTTGTGTTATATATATACATTTACTTTAAAATACCCTTTTTGGAAGAAAACTAATTTAATCACTTAATGAATACATGAATTTAATTTATTATAAACACAGCGGCTCATAATTAAGTAGTACAATTAATTGCAATATTCCTTGAGCTTTTATCGAAATGGAAAATTATATCAATATTCGGATGATGGTTATGTTCTTTTAATAATTCTATTCGATCTTGTATAACCAATGTTTCAATGACATGACTTAAAAATCCATAAACAAAACACCATTTAATGAAAATTCCACAAGCATTATGAACTGATCTGTCTTGTTCAACTTCAAACCTTTTAATAATCTCTTGATTGTCTAAAGCTCGTAGATCTGAAGTTCCAAATACTTTAAAATTAACATCATGCTCCATAAACTTCAAAGAAATGAACTTTGTAACTTTATGGAAGCAACAAGGAACGAATAAACAACCAATAACATCTAAGAAACTTGGACTTTTGACCACAAGATCTATGATGTTTCCAGATAAATCACCACAAGTATCCAATCCAATAATCAAACATTTGGGTTTACCGCTATTCGATCTTTGTCTTGATCTTATGAATCTCAACGTATCTTCATCATTCAACTCAAAGTGTTTAGTATAATGAACTTGATTGTCCTCCAGCGATGATACACTATGTTTCATTAATCCATTGAGTCTTTTATTAACTTTTTGTGCCTTGAGATTGGGTTCAATAGCTATAGTGGGAAGTTTATGTAGTCTTGATAAATTTGAATTCCCAGCGCCAACGTCAATAATGAACTCAAAAGGTGTGTTTTCATAAATTTGAGTGATCTTGCAATTGAATTGTGTTAATTCGTATGATTTTCTTGGTGAAATAAATGGAATTTGTATAGGCGGTTGTTGTTGTTGCGGTTCTTCTAATTTGGTGGTTTTGTTGATTAGATTTGATTTGATATTTTGGAATCTGGGGTGTGATAAATGGGTAAAATCATTTATGATTCGATCGAGATCTGTCTCATTGTATTCAAATGGTAATTCTATTTCTTCAAATTTGTTTATATTTAAATATGGTTTTATTGATTCTGATTCAAGTAAGTTGTGTAGTTCATTCATATTCGATTTTGTTAATTTCCTAAAGATTTGTTTTAAAAGTTAGTATATCCCTGCTACAAAGGACTAAGAAAAACCAAAAGATTTAACTATATCATTTATTTAGTTTTTGTTTTATTGTAATTTGATAGATTTCTAATGTATCTTATAATTGTCGTAAATTGTTTAAAAAAACAAAATCAAAGAATAAATATCTTTGAACAAGTTTTTAAAACATTTTTTTTTTATTTTTATGGTAAAATTGAATTGAATATAAATTCTATGAATGTGATATTATGATTTTCATTTGTTTTTTATTTGTATGGTATGAAGTATGTATGATGTTTTGTTATTATTTTGTCATTTCATCAAAGATCTCATGATGACTTATTCATATTATCATTAAAAAACTTAGATAGATTCTTTTAAAGCTTGGTTTAATTTAGCAATTTTAGCAGAAATTGATAAATCAACAGTTCTGTCACCAACTTCAACAATTAAACCACCTAAGATATCTGGGTTAACATCGTTTTTCAATCTAAGAGTTTTACCTTGACCAACAAATTTTGATTTTTGAACTGAAGCTTCAATTTTTTTTAAGATTTTTGAATCTAATTTAGTTGAAGAAGTAACAACAGCTTCAACAACACCATTGTGAGCATCAGTTAAGATCTTGAATTGTTGGAAAATTGGTTCTAATAAGTTTAATCTGTTGTTTTCACCTAAGACTTTTAATAAGTTTGAAACTGATTCATCAATTGATGGAGATGATTGAGCTAAAGCGCTGACAACAGTAGCACGATCACCTGATGATAAAGCTGGGTTTGAAAGGAATTCACCAACTTTTGAATCTTTGGCAATTGAAGCTTTTAAAGCATCTAAAGATTTAGCAGCAGATTCAATTGAGGTAGATTTAGCAGCAGCAGTGTATAAAGCACTAGCGTAAGTACCATCTAAACCAAACAATTGAACTGGTGGTTTGACAGCTTGGGTGGCAGTAGCCAAAGAGCGAGCAAAGATTCTTGAAGCCATTGTGATGAATTGATTGGATCTTTAATTAGTCGTTGTCGTTGTTGTTAAGGGGGTTTTTTGTTCAATTTTGTTTTTTTCCTTGAAAGTTTTGGACAAATTTGATTGGAAATGTGCGCGAATCGGGTGTGCTGGTAGATTTGGCGCGTGATACAAGGACAATTGTGTAGTGAATGAGGGAAATAGAGTATTCAGATAAGCTTGGAGGATATAGCTATATAAACCTACAACTTTACAGAGTTTCATAGTTCTTAATACTCACACAATTGCCTAAATTCCTTTAATCGAAATATAAGACCGGGTAAAATTCTGCTACAAATATCGACCCATTCGCGAATTTGTTATTTTTCAAAAAGTTTCGCGAATTCTTTTGATTTTGGTGAAAAAAACTTGAAGATTTAACGTAATTTCGATTGATTATAAGTAGATTTGAAGGTTTCGATCAAGCAGATTTGAAGGCTATTTAAGAGCAAGATGTTCAAAGGTCTTGCTAGAATAATACCTACTAGGCAAGGTCTGCTCAGCAGCTGGGCTAGTGGATCTACTTCAAGTATAAGGCTCGCTAGTACAACTACTGATACACCAACACCAAGACGTCAAGAACAATTGATTAAATTAACTTTAAGAGAAGAAAATTTAACAGAATTAGAAAAACAAGATGCTGTTGTCAATAGACGTCGTAAATTAGCTAAAGAAATTGTTCAATTAAAGAAATATAAACCAACATCCCCGGGTGTTAGATGGTATAGAGCTCCAATGTATCCACATTTATTCAAAGGTAATCCATATAGACCTTTAACTGCACCAAGAAAGAAACATTCTGGTAGAAATAACACCGGTAGAATTGTGATCAGAGGTAGAGGTGGTGGTCATAAACGTCGTATTAGAATCATTGATAATTTCAGAAATGACGCAGGTCAACAAGAAGTTGTTCGTATTGAATATGATCCAAATAGAACTGCTCATATTGCTTTATTAAAAAATTTAGAAACAAACAAAAGAACCTATATTCTTGCTGCTGATGGTCTTAGAGCTGGTGATATAGTGGAATCATTCATGCAAGGTATCCCAGATAGACTTATGAAGGAAATGGGTGGTAAAATTGATCCAGCTATTTTATCCGCTAAAACCAATCAAAAGGGTAACTGTTTACCAATTCATATGATTCCAATTGGTTCAACAATTCATAACATTAGTATAACAAAAGGTGAACCTGGTAAAATGTGTAGAGCTGCAGGTTCTCATGGTAAATTAATGCAAAAATTACCTGAAAAGAAGAAAGCTATTGTTAAATTGAAAAGTGGTGAACATCGTTATATTCATATTGATAGTTGTGCAACTTTAGGTGTTGTTTCTAATATTGCTCATCAACATTTAAGTCTTGGTAAAGCTGGTAGATCAAGATGGAGAGATCGTAGACCAAAAGTCCGTGGTATGGCTATGAATGCTTGTGACCATCCTCACGGTGGTGGTAGAGGTAAATCTAAAGGTAATAGATTATCTGTTTCAGCATGGGGTGTCTTGGCTAAAGGTTATAAGACAAGAAGAGGTAAATCACAAAACAAAATGAAAGTTAAAGATAAACCAAGAGGTAAAGCTGGTAGAAGAAATGCCAGATAATCTTGTTTATAAAATTAGATATTATTCATCATGTACATATATAATAAACTCATTTAACGATCATATATTGTTATTCATAAACATTGTAATTCATCCTTTTGCGCTTTATAAGGCCTTACGGCATTTTTATATTCTTCTGTCAAATATACAGGTTCTAATTTAACCAATACTTGGGTTTGATCAGCATCAAATATCTCCAGCTCATTAATCTCTACGATTGAATAATTTTTCAAATCTCCATACCGTAGATCTAAACCTTTTATCAGATTCTTATATTGAAATTTGTTCATCCATTTTAATTTAGTTTTCCTTATTAGCACTAATGTATCTGTTGTATGTTTTGTTATTCTACATGATTGATTGGTTTCAAATGTGTTTATACAATCTCTTGTTATGATTGCTAATATGGAGTTATTTGAGTCTGAAATTGATACAAGAAATGAATTATCCTGCTCATTGAATTTAAGAAACTTCAAAGTAGTTAGTTCATTAGTCTCTGAATGTTCATTTACCATACTTTTAACTCACTTTTAATAGCTTCACAATTCGTTGTTTACCGCCAAACTCAAATGAGTCCAGGCCTGGTCCATAAGACCTTATAACTTCTTGACAGATCCATTTATGGAGAAAATCCTTTTCTATTAGTTTCTGTGACTTGAATTTGTCAAATTTCATCTAGATTTTTTGCTGGTTGAATTGGTTGATTGGGCTTGATTATGCTGTAAACTTTGAAGGTAAACAGGCTTATAATTTGTTGATCCAGCGCGAATGGATAGAAGAGTACCCGGGATGTTACAAACAACTAAGCAGTGATTTATAATATATATTTCAAATATACTACAATTGAAATGTTATTAAGTAAAAGTATTATATCATATAAATTGGTATCATTTAAATGCAATTTTTTTTTCATCCTTAGCACGTAAAATTGGTTCAAATTAAATTCATTATTTAACTTCTTCAAATTCATGGAACCCTAATTCATAAGTATAACCTAAAACTAATTTGGTAAATTCTGCGATATGATGGAAACTCAATCTATCCAAGGTGTCTGAAGTTGAATGAATATAAGGATTAGTATATTGGAAGTCACTTTCAATAACAAAACTTGAAGGATAACCATTTTGTAACGCACTTGCATGATCACTACATGCATAACCACATTTAGTTTCGATATAAGGGATTGATAAATAAGAATCAATGACTAATTTAATGAAGTCAGTGAATGGAGCTGAAACATAATCTGTAATAACACCAACATGTTCCTTAACATCATTATCTAAAGTCTTTTGAATATAACCAGTCATATCTTGTTGTAAAACTGAAACAACTTTATGACCTTTAGATTTATAATCTGTAAAAATATCTAATGAGCCTAATAAACCACCTTCCTCAGCAGAGAAGAAATGGAATTCAACTGTATTTTCTGGTTGGAAACCAGATTCCACAAGAATACGTAAAGCTTCTAAGTTTGTTGTAACACCACTTCCATCATCATCTGCACCTGGTGCTTTCATTAAAGTTGGGAATAATAAATTTGTTGAATCTTGATGAGCACCAACAACAACTCTATTCTCTGGTGTTTTGGAACCTGGAATTCTAACAATAATGGAAAACTGCTGCCATTCATGTTTGAATTTTTCCACTGTTATATTGTTCTCAGTTAATGAAGTAATTTCTTGCAACTTTGTGAATAACCAAGTTGCACTTTTGAAACCATTTTCAGATTTATAATATCTTGAATAGAATGAAGAGAAATTGGCCAAATTATCATGTAAGTTCTCTAATTTGATATCAGTAATTAAATTTGAAACTTCTTTTGGATAAGAGACATTAGTAGGATAATTATAAACTGGAACTGGGACTTTTTCCTTGGAAGTAGCTGCAAACCAACTTTGGTGGTTAGTGATATCCATAAATTTAACACCACTTCTTCTTAGTTTCATCTTATGATCCTCGGTGACTTTAATAGGAGCTGAATCTTCGGAAGTGACAATGAGTCTTTCCTCATTAGCAAAGTTAGGAACGAGTGATTGAAGTCCTTCAAGAGACCATAGTGGAGCAGCGAGAGTGGCTGGTGCTAACGCCAGTGATAACGAAAGTAAGCTAAGTTTCATTTTTGATTTGGATTGACCTAGCTGGAAATTATTGTTGAATTGAAAGAGAAGAAGTTTAAATTGTTAAAATGTGCCACTCATTTTTTATGGAGTTTATTGTTATCGCAACTCAATTTACTCATTACGGTAGACTTCCCCTTTAGGTAATGAATCGTAACTTACATTTGTATAAACATTCAAAATCTTTTTTATAAAATTAAATTAAACAAATAAAGCATTTGGTATATTATGGAAATCAAAAAATAACATCGTCTTCGTGCTCTTGAGTCAAATCAGTTGGTTCACCTTCACCGATGTCCAATTTTGCAACTTGTTCAGCTTCTTTTGCAGGATCAATTTCTTCATGTTTCTCTTCATGTTCCTTCTTTTCAGATTCTTTTTCAGCAGCTTCTTCAGTGGTTGAAGCTTCTTCTTCTTCGTCTTTAGCACCTTCGGCAGCAGATTTTTCTAAATCAGCTTCTTGTTGAGCTTTTCTAGCTTTTAATTCAGCATCTGATTTAGCAACAGCTTGTTGTTTCTTTTCTTGAACTTTCTTTAATCTATAAAATTCTTCTCTATCCATTTCATCCAATTCACCATTGATATAAGCAATTGTATTTTCAGTTCTTGGAATAATAACATACTCAATGGCATTGACTCTTCTATTTGTGACTTTAATAACTTCATCCAAGATGATGAATGCAGTTTGTAAAGAAGCTAATTCTACCAGTGTTTCAACAGCTTTTGAATAAACAGATTTTGCTTTTTGAACTTGTTGACCACCTCTACCTAAACCAGTCAATTTAAAATCATTTATCTCATCTTCGATGTAGCTTTCAAATTGTGGTAAATAAACACCACTAACATTTTCTTGTTTTGCTCTAACTTTAAATCTTGCATTCTTGACAGATTCTTGAACTTGATAACCAATATTACCCCCAGTGGCATAAGTAACTTCAGCTAATGAAAAGGCTGCAGTTTGCATGACTCTACCCATTTTTCTTTTAGCCTTTACACAAATTGGTTAGTATTAGACTCCTCAAGTGATAAATTCCCATAAATACTTACATCATCAATACGTTTCGTTATATCTCTAAATCTCTTGGTCAATGCTTCAGACTTTCTCTTCAACAAACTATGACCAGTTTGTGCACCCTTGAGCTTACCCTTCATCAGACCTAAGGTCATACGTGTAGGAAACACTGCTTCTCTGTAAACATCCAAGTTAGCGCTTGTTCTTGTTGTTTATTGATGCAACCATTTCATCTCCTTGAATTGTGTCCAATGGGTCGTTTATCACTCCCAATGGTCCAATTTTTGATGGAAAAAAAATGGCACATGCACATTTACTCACCTATTTTGTGACATCTTGATTTAATACCCTTGTTCTTGATCTTGAAAACAAATATGATGTATTAATTCCAATTGTTGTTCCACATTCAACTTCGTTATTTTGGTTATCAGAAATTCAAAAATACAGCACTTTTTCTCACAAAACGTTTTCGCGCATACTTAAAATTAAATTTAACAAAGCGCTTAAGTTAATAAACAATTTGAACTGAAAAGTAAACAATTTTGAACAAATCAAACCGGTTTTCTTGCTTGTTTATTTTGCTGTTGCTATCAGTTGAACTATCATCATGTCGGAACCAAAGTTGGTCAGAGAGAAAATGGGGCTTGAACTGATTGAAGAAAATGATCTGCCTTATGAGTATCAGATCTTGGAAGGCCCAAACAATCTAACAAACTGGTTACGTTACTATTGGCACAAAGATTCAATAGTAGGCAAATTGTTCGTACTTCAAAGAGCTTGTGATCATTTGAAAAGATCGTATAAGTTATGGATTATGTACTTAGAACATCGTGTCGAATTGGTTGAAGGTTTAAATCCAGTACATTATAAAGAAGAATACCTCAAAGTCAATAAAGAATTTGAAAAATCATTATATTTATTAAACAAAATGCCATTACTTTGGCTCAAGTACTTACAATTTCTAAATTTACAAACAGATGTTACACTGATAAGGAGAAAATACACAGAAGCTTTAAGAACGTTACCTTTAACTCAACATCATATAATATGGCCTTCATACTTGGAATTTGCTGACAAAGTTGGTGGATTAACAGGTTGTAAGGTATATCTCAAGTATTTGATTTTTAACCCAGACGAAATTGAGTTGGTACTCAATAGATTGATCCAATGGAAAGATATTCCAAATAGTTTGATTGTATTCCAAAAAATATTAGATGATCCATCATTTGTCTCAAAAGAAGGTAAATCACCATTAGAACTTTGGTTGGAATATTTAGATTTATTAATATCATTCAAAAAGCCTAATAAATCACATGATATAACTGTGGAAACTTTTACAAGAAATGGTATGAAATTATTTACGGATCAACAGGGGAAAATCTATGTTAAACTAGCTACGTATTTTATCAAAAGAAGACTGTATGAGAAGTCAAGATCCATCTTAGAAGAAGGTCTCATCACAGTGAAAACCATCAAAGATTTCACGGTAATTTATGATAGTTATGCAGAATTTGAAGAAAGTTATATCAATAAACTAGTTGAGCAAATTCAACACAAAGAAGAATCAAATGAAGATGCATCACACTTAAATAATGAATTGGATTTGAAGCTTGCAAGATTTGAAAAATTAATGGATAGAAGACCATTCCTAATCAGTGATATCAAACTTCGTCAAGATTCAAACAATGTTGATGAATGGCTTCATAGAATAACTTTGTTTAATCCAGAAAACCTGGGAGATATCTTGAATACATATGTCAAGGCAATCACCACAATTGAACCATATGAATCAAGTGAAGGACTTTCAAAAATATGGATCCAATATTCCAAAATTTACGAAGATAATGGAGATTTAAACACTGCAAGAACTATTTTAGATAAAGCTGTCAAAGTTCCTTTCAAAGAACCTGAAGAATTGGTTAATATTTGGTTAGAATGGTCAGAACTGGAATTAAGACAAGACGATATCGAAAAAGCTTTGAAAGTATTGGAAGTTGCTACAAAATCACCTTTAAAATCGAAGATTGACTATAAAGATGTTCATTTACCAGTTCAAGCTCGAATTCATAAAAGTATAAAGCTATGGTCATTTTATTTAGATCTTGTGGAAAGCTCTGGTGATATTCAAGAGACTTGTCGTATTTATGATCGAGTTTTTGAGTTGAAGATTGCAACACCAATGATTGTGGTAAATTATGCAAACTTTCTTGAAGAAAATCAAAGATTTGAAGAATCATTTAAGATTTATGAACGTGGAATTGGAATCTTTAGTTATCCCACCGTTTTTGAAATTTGGAATATTTATTTAACAAAAGCTTTGAAAAGGAACTTGAATGTTGAAAGAATAAGAGATTTATTTGAACATGCACTAGATGAATGCCCTGATAATTTGAGTAAAAGTATTTATATCCTTTATGCAAATTTTGAAATTGAAAATGGATTGACTCAAAAGGGGTTCAAGATTCTACAAAAAGCTATAAATAGAGTTTCCAAAGAATCTATACCAGACCTTTATCAAGTTTTAATATCACAAACCCAAAAATTTAATGGTTTAATTGCAACAAGACCAATCTTTGAATCAGCAATTGAAAAAGTTCCAGAAACACATACAATTGATCTCGTCTTACAATTTGCTACAGTTGAAACAGAATTGAAAGAATTCAACAGAGTTCGTGAATTGTTAAAATATGGTGGTTTACTGAAATCACCTCTCAAAAATGTTAAATTATGGGAATTCTGGAATGATTTTGAAATTCAAAATGGTAATAAGGATACTTTCAAGGATATGTTACGTGTTAAAAGAGAAGCCATGGATCAATTCAATACTGATATTTTGAACTCTTCAGAATCTATTGGGTTTGTCAAATCAAGTACGGGACCAAAAGTTTCTTCAATCAATGCCAGTGAACCTGTTCAAGAAGAACAGAACCCAGATGCCATTGATTTAGATATATAGGTCTTTAATGAATATTACATTTTGTATTATAAGTATATATTGTATGGTATGTATTAAATAATTAAGTTAAATTGGATAAATAATTATGCGATATATATGAATTGTATCATTTTGGTGCATTATTATCAACCCAATCTTGAGTTGACATTTGTGATAATCTACTTAAAGCTCTTGCGAAGGCAAATCTTTCTTCATCTAAAGTACCAAATAATTGAGCTTTTTTAGCAATTTTTTTACTGAACCCATGTGTTTGAACTAAATCATCATCTTCAAAACTTTCATCAATTTCCTCAGAATTCTTAGGGGAAATACTTAACTCATATGCACTTCCTTTTATATCTTCAGGCTCGACAAATAAATCTTCAAAAGGTGCTGGAACAGTCACTGATAATCTACCATGATTATCATAAACAGCATCCAAAAATGTAATGAATCTTCTGACTTTATCTCTAACATTTATAGATAAGTACGGGATATCTGTGATTATAAAAGCATTGAAAGATGTTGCTAATGAAAGATAATCACCTGCAGCTAATGGACTACCACAAATTTCTTCAAATGTAAATTGTGCAACATATGGGGGCGAACCTTTTGGAACTTTCAATTTTCTACCCCAAATTGTCAATTCTATATCATTTTCAGCTTTGTGTCCTTGAGAAAAGAATTCATACCATTGTTCAACATGTGCTGCAGCGGCGGCTTGTGAAGCTTTACCAGTGAAAGGAACACCAGGTTTTGGATAATAATAAACTGATGATATTGGTTTTGGAACTTTTCTGTAATCAGTTGGAGAGTTCAAATAAATCACTTCAGTTCTTTGTTTTAGTAATTGAATGCACGGAATGAAAGATTCTCTTTGGATACCATTGATATATAAATCATCTGGTGCTCTATTTGAAGTTGCGAAAAGTACTAATCCATGATCTGGTCTAAGAGATCTCGTCAATAAACGACGTAATAACATCGCATCTGCAACATCTGTAACTTGGAATTCATCAAAACATAACACAGTAGCTTCTTGTGCAATTTCTGCAGATAATAAGGGAATTGTATCAAGATCTGAAGAACCATGTTTCATTTTCAATTGATGAGATCGTTTATGTAAGTTTTGCATAAATTGATGGAAATGCAATCTTTTTTTGGGTAAATGTTTTGGGATAGTTGAGTAGAATAGATCCATAAGCATAGTTTTCCCACACCCAACATCACCATATAGGTAAATACCTTTAGGAATAGTTTCATAATCTTTTGAAGTGAATTCAGCTTTTTTATGGAATACATTAGCAAACATTTTAGAAAGCCCAGTTTTCGGTTTCAAATTATCTGGATTAGGCGTATCCACTATCTGTGGTTGATATCTTGTCAATTGTTCGTGTAAATCTCCCAAAGATGCTATGATACCTCTTTGATATGGATCATCTCTTAGTTTACCCACCGAGACTAAACGGTCATATTCCTGAAGTGGAGTTCTTCCTTGAGCATTGAGCACTCTAGTAGTAGAGTGGAACAATCTTTTCCCCAGAAGTGTATGTATTCTAATCATATCATCCAACTCTCCCTGTATATATTCCTTCAAATCCCTACCTCTTCTTGTCAATTGAGTTTGAATCAAACTAAAAGTTGAAATAATTATACTCATTCGCTTTTAAGTTCCACCACTAAAAAGAGACCGGTTCCTGATCCGATCGGCTCCCGGGGACCATTTCCCTAATGAGATGACACAATTTTAGCAGAAAAACATAAACATAACGAAGGCAGATTGAATGGTGCTTCGATCTAAACAATGAACTACTCTCAAGCCTCGATCTCAGAAACAATCCATTGGTTTCATTTTTCTTCCCTCATTTCCACCGTTGTCTATTGTTCTCAAAATTTTAGTACCAGATTTCTTAATTCGCGGATATCTTAGAAAAATGTCAACAAAACATCAACACAATATCAAAAAGAAACAGATCAGCTGAAAGACAACGGCTGGGGTATCGTTGAAAAAAAGTGCTAGGTAATGGTCAGCTCAGCAATCGCGTCCCTGGACAAGATTTCACTGGACTCCAAGGAGGAACAAGAACACAAAGTGGATTCCCACTACACAGATATCACCAAGGTTTTATTCACACAGGCTCAAAAACTCAAGACCGGTAGTATTATCAAATCACCACATTTTTCGTTGTTTGAAGGAACTCATGCTCTTGAGGTAACAAATAACAAGTTGGACTCAGGTTTAATCAAACTGACTGAGGAAGAACTCAAATTTGATTACAAAAAAGGGAGATCTTTGAATGAAGTATTACAACAATCAGATGCTATTTTAAGATCGGTGTTTGTATGGCTGAACAATTCATCATTACCAGTCACTGTTTTCAGTAATCGTTATGTTGAACAATTATTGGTGAATTACACTAAAGATGTCAGAAATGGCTTAAACAGCTGTAAATTTTATGATTCAAGATATGAGAAAGTGGATGAAATGGCCAGTTTAGAATTACAATTGGTTCATAAGGTTCTTAGATCCGTTGTATTAGGTGTTTTACATTTCGTCAGATTATGTTTGACATTAGGTCAAGCAGGTGTTGTTTATGAAGAGGAAGATATCAATACTCAAAATATGAATTTAGATGTGTTATCCCTTATTGGATCTGATCAAGTTCTCAAAGAGATTATAAACTCAATTAATTTCCTAAGTAAGCATTTCCCAGATTCCAAAGATTCAACGCTTATTACAAACATTCTACAAATATTAAAAAAATTAATTGATCTACCATTTTATTTGAGTATCAAGATTCCAAGAAATTCATTCGGTAAAAATGTTAATACTGAAGTTTTAGATTCATTACTTAAAAACTGTCAAATTATGCAACAAAACATAGATTATTTGAATTCATTACCTGAATTGCCTGGTGCTTTCAGTGTCAAGATTCAAAAAACTTTAGACAATAGATCTCCAACAAGAGATTTGGTCCCACCAAAACAAGAAGACTATAGTTCATTGAATTTATTATTAACAGATCTACAACATATTTTTTATATTAAAGATAGAACAAGTGTGTTGGATTTGAAGAACTACACTTTGAATTTTGCAAATCAAACTCATCACACCATATCTCGTGCATTTTTCCCCTTGTTCTTGATTAGAGATGATCGTACTGTGTTAGGTGTTGAACAATTTTCAAATTTTCTTTTGGAAGACTTAATATCATTTTCATGTTGTGATTCAAATATATTATCAACTGATAATTTAATTGCTAAAAACAAAGTTATTGAATTTATTGATCAAGTTACTATAGTTTATTTTGAATGGTTCAATACAATGAATCAAAACCCATGTCGTCAAAGAACACATTTATCAAGAATGATTCCAATGTTGGATTCTCTTGAAGCAAGCTCGGAAACTTTAGAACTAGAACTAGAAAATGTTTTCCAAATTAAAGATTTATTGATTGATAACACTAATGAAGCTTCAGCTCTGCCAATTACTTCGTGGATTCATTATCAAAAATTAGACGTTATGTTACAAGTGGTCCTAAGAGGGTTTGAATTGGATGTTTATAAAGTGTGGGAATATCATTCGATGTATTGGTATGCAAATTATCTTGTTGATCACATTGAAGCTATCTTATTAAGAGTTGTTCAATGTAATAATTCCAAGATTAATTCGATAAAAGATATGAATAAGAAATTGAAAAAGAAAACTGGAGAGCAAAAACAGAAATTTAAAGAAAAATTACAATTGAAACAAGATTTTATATTACCAAAATTAATTGAAGCAAATGAATCAATTGAAAAATTGATCTTGAAAAATCAAATTATTAGAGAACTTTGTCATTTACAAATATATAATTTAAATGACCTAATCAATAGAGGATTCCTTAAAATCCCAGACTTCCCATTCATTAAAGATGATTCTCAATTATACAATTTAAGAATGAAACCATTTTCCACTGTTGGGTCACCAATAACTCCAAAATATGATGAATACCTTAATGAATCAAAACAAATTAATATATCTAAAGAAAGATCAAATGAATTGAAGAAATCGGTTAATGAACATTTAAAACAATTCTTAGAATTAATTGAACAAAATGATAAATCTGTGGGGATGCAATTAAATCAAAACGATTGGATTAATTGGTTTAAAGAATTACAAAAAAGTAGTATTGGTATTGTATTAACTTCATTAACCAATCAACAAGTATCAAATGACTCCATTAGTGATTATAGACCAATAATTGTATCCACAGGATTTCATAGATATTTCCCTATAGTTAAGTTAGAAAAGAAATGATTATGACTGCATGATAAGCATAAATTCTATAGTACATCTGTATATGTAATTTATAGTAACCCCTAATGTTTAATATCAGCTGACCTACATATAGGGCATCGCTATCCACGTGATCTTTGTAACACCCAAACCTCACCCGGTTACCGACACATAATTTGGTAATAATCGCGGAAATTTTGCAAAACCGACTCTTTTTCAATTGAAAACGTCGCGAATTTCTTTAATACTGAGTCCAAATATCCGCGAAAATCTCAAGGAATCTCGATTCGCGAACGGGAAATTCAACCATCACCAAACAATTTTTCAATTTTTACCTTGAAATACTTTACAACAAAGAGGTTGAATATTCTAATTCACCAACTACAGCATAATCAATAATTCAAAATGCCTCCAAAATTCGATCCTACTGAAGTTAAATTCATTTACTTAAGAGCCACTGGTGGTGAAGTTGGTGCTTCAGCTGCTTTAGCTCCAAAAATTGGTCCTTTAGGTCTTTCACCAAAAAAAGTTGGTGAAGATATTGCCAAAGCTACTACTAAATTCAAAGGTATCAGAGTTACTGTTCAATTAAGAATCCAAAACAGACAAGCTGTTGCTTCAGTTGTCCCATCAGCTTCTGCTTTAGTTATCACTGCCTTAAAAGAACCACCAAGAGATAGAAAGAAGGAAAAAAATGTTAAACACACTGGTAACATTGCCTTAGAAGAAATTATTGAAATTGCTAGAACAATGAAAGAAAAATCATTCGGTAAAAACTTAGCTTCAGTTACTAAAGAAATCTTAGGTACTGCTCAATCAGTTGGTGCTAGAGTTAACTGGAAAAATCCTCATGATATCATTGAAGCTATCAACGCTGGTGAAATTGATATCCCAGAAAACTAAACTTTTTAAAATGTTAATATTAATGTTATAAAGGGTCAAGAAAAAAATATAAAAAGCATTTTGGGTTATCATAATTGTAATAAATAAGTTCAACAAATTATAAAAAAAAGGAGTTATCTCAAATTCTTTTTTAATTTTATGTATATTTGATTAAATGGGGTGTTTCGTTTAATGTTTGAGAGTTTTGAAATTTGTAATGAAGTTTTACAAAAAGGGTGGAGTTTTATTCAATGTTTTATTCAATATTTTCAAATTTATCAAGATCAAGATCAAGATTTCAATCAATTGTTTTCCAAATTTTTTGTTTAGTTAGTCTTTTTTTTTTGTTTATTATTTTCTTTTTTACTTTTCACTACAGTTTGCCAACACTCTGGTGCCTAATCAAAGTTAAAAACACTTTGGATCTATATTAGGTTCCTATTTTGGTGCAAACAAGATAAATTTTTTTAGCTAATTTACTCACCAAGATATACTGATTTTTATAATCAATGCTTCGGTTTTGATTCACAAGATGGTTATATTGGTCCATTTCAATAGCTTACATACTTTTTGTTATATAGTTGTTTTTTGTTTATTTTATGTTGGAAAACAATTTGGAGATTAAGATTTTGATTATTTGAAGATGAGATTACATTGATGAAACAAAGCTCTTTACGAGTATTGTAATCATCTTATGCTCTTTAGTAATTTGTAATCTTGTGTATAATCAATTTATGTTTTATCTCGTTTATTATTCTAGTATTTTTTCAGATTCGTTTATATTGAATGGTAATATGTTCCCATCTTTTATATGTAACTACAATATAACAATCTTAATATTGAAAATGTATATTTCATCGAAGTCAAGCATGATTGGAGCATCTTTGCAAACGCACACAAACCATGGTCTCTTTAACGTGACTGAAGAGCTAATAATTAGCTCAACTAATTGGCTGATCTATTGAATTGTACCTAGTATACCCCTTATTTTAACGATCAGAATCCAGGTCACTGAATTCAACAATCCAACTTTATTGATTTGGAATTGACATGAGTACCGATGTGTTCACACACGGACAACTTTATGTAGCTCTTAGTAGGTATGTTAACATACATAGCACAAAAAGGAAGATTCGACATAGCATAATGCCAAAAAAATTTCTTTCTTTGTTTAAATTTTGAAAGTTGAAGCTTTTTTTATCAATCAATTACAGAATTCGCGAAGATCATTGATTGTGAATTGCGGGAAAACAAATCAAAACAAACCAAAACAAATAACAAGAATTGGTTCCAATCATCTCCTAAACTCACTCTGATTACACTCTAAGATGTCTGATTCAATTGGTATGCTTATTCTGAACTATTTCATCTTTCCCCCTGGCTCATTTCACTAACAAACAATCTCAGATCGTGTTTTCGTCAAGGCTATCTCTACTATTCGTGCATTATCAACAAGATCAGGATATGGATCCTTACCAAGACCTCCAGTGGAAAATCGTATAAGGCTTTATGGTCTATATAAACAAGCAACAGGTATGTGATTTGATACTTTCATTATTTAACTTCTTGATAGAAATGAACCAATATTAACATATGTTATAGAGGGAAATGTTGAAGGTATAATGGAAAGACCAACAGGATTTAATCAAGAAGATGAATCAGCTCGTAGGAAATATGATGCATGGAAATCTGAAGAAGGAATATCCAAAACTGAAGCTAAAAGACGTTATATTGCATTTTTAATTGAAACTATGAGAACTTATGCAAGTGGTACACATGAAGCAAGAGAATTATTAAATGAATTAGAATATTTATGGGATCAAATTAAAGAAATCATACCAAGTCCTTCACCTCCTTTAACTCCATTACATACATTTCCAAGTAATGTTGCTATTGCTGGTGGTAATGGAGGTTCATTAACTGGAAGTCTTTATGGTGATTCATTCTTGATGGATGATAGAAGTGCAATTTTAGGTTATCATTCAAATAAATCAGAATTAAATCTAAGTAAAGATGTTGCAATTCTGAAAAAAGAAGTTGGATTAGCCCTTAGAAGGATTAATAATGAATTGAACCAAATAAATCAAGCAAGATTTAATACTAATGGTGGTAATAATGGCTCTAATTATGATGATGAGAATGATGATAATCTATGGCGTGGTTATAAAATCATAAGGAAATTAACAAAATTCTTATTTAAATTCTTGGGAAACGTTTTGAAAAGATTAATAATTGATCTTGTTATCCTTATAAGTATTATAAAATTCATTAGATATAAGAATGGATTAGATGTTAATTTATCAACAACTAATTCTACAAACAATGGAATCATCAATAGATTTCTATTTGGTATTTTCAAATTGTTGAATAAAGTTAATTTGGTTAATTTCAATAGATTATATATTGAGATTGATTGAATTGTTTATTTATTAATATATATAACGTTACATGATGATTTTCCTTGATTGTAGTTTATTTCACCCATTATAATTAGCCGCCAGAGTACAATTCAATCACAGCTCAATACTATATTTCAAAAGATCTTTGATAAGTTGATCTTATTATAAGATCTTAATCGGCACCGCTTGGTAATTTAGATCTAAATATATTATTGAAAATTAGCCGCCAACCACAAAAATCCAAAATATTATATTTATATAAAAGCTGGCACTTTGCCACTAATTTTTTAATTAATTCCACTAATTAACTGATATCATATAATGATTGTCGAATATATGGGTAA